GCCTATAGCTAGTCTAAGAAGAATTTTCCTATATAGAAATTAAAGGGAAAAAGAGATCTAAAGAGGATAACTTAGACTCTAAAGGCCCTAAATCTAAGAGAGAAAGAATTCTTTAAGCTATAGCTGCAATTATTAGTATAATAGAATAGCCTAAGGAAATAGTAGCTAAAGTCTGCTAAATTGCTTTAGAATTCTAGCTAGAGGAAATAAAGGAAGAAATCTATAAAACTACCTTCTCTACTATTTTAAAAGAGATTATACTTAAGTAGGACATTCCTATCCTATAAAGCTATAAAGAAGTAGTAGAAGATAAAGAATAGAGAAACCTATAGAAGGAAGCTATTAAAAAGGAATTAAATTCTCTAGGAAGTAATTATATATAAAAAGAAACTATTACTCTAAAAGGTGCAAACCTTATAAGTTCTAAGTAGGTATTTATAGTTAAGAGACTAGCAAGTAGTGCACTTAATAAGCTAAAAGTAAGGCTTATTATAAGAGGATTTTCCTAAAAGTATAGAGTTAATTTTAAGAAGACATTTACTTTAATAGTTAGATATAAGACTCTTAGGACCTTTATAGTAGTAGTCTTTAAGAATAACCTTAAGCTATACCTAGTAGATGTAGATAGTACATTTATAAATAGTTACCTAAAGGAGGATATCTTTATAGTAGTACCTAAAGGAGTTAATATTACCCCTAGATATATTTTAAAGATCCTAAGAAGCCTATATAGATTTAAGCAAGTAGTAAGAGACTAGAATTAACTCTATATCTTAAAGCTCCTTAGTCTTAGATTTATTTAGTCTAAGGTAGATCTATACCTTATATACTATTATAGGAAAGAACTTATAGTTATAACTTATATAGATAACATTCTAATTACTAGAAGATTAATAGATTCTATAAACTAGTTTAAGAAAAGTTTTAAAAAGATCTTTAATATTAAGGATCTTAGGGAACTATTAAGGATCCTAGGAATAAATATAACTAGAGATAGGAAATATAGAACCCTAAAGCTTAACTAAGAACACTATATCCTTAAGAGCCTTTAGAAACTTAAAATAAATATAAAATTATTAAAGCTAACTCTCTTACTAATAGACAGTTATAAGGGACTAGAAAAATCTAGCTTAGATAATAAAAGATATAGTAGGGAAGAGTACTAAATAACAATTAGGACTTAGATATAGCCTATAATTATTATAAGGCTAGATATTACATTTGCTATTAGAAAGCTAAGCTCCTTTTCTAGTAATCCTTCTACGAAATATATAAGAGCCCTAAAGAAAGTCTTAAGATACCTTAGGTTAAACCCCGATCTTAGAATTACCTTCTTAAGGGATAAACTAGGATTYCTAACTAGATACTTAGACTTAGATTTTGCTATAGATAAATCCGAYAGGAAATCTRTTCTTAGAAATGTTTTTATRCTTTATAATAGACTAATCTTATAAATAAGYAAGAAGCAGAAGTCTATAGCTACCTTAATAATAGAAGCTAAGTTTATAGYAATAAATGCYTATRYAAAATAATTATAGTTCCTCTTATCCCTTCTTAGAGAAATAGGTTAAGGAAATTTAGTTAGATTATCCCCTTTTTAACTAAAGATTAAGGCTAGAGAGGAAATGTTAAATAAGCTTAGACTAGTTTATCTTTTTAAGGATAACTAGGCTTGCCTAACACTAGTAAAAGATGCTTATATTTATAAAAGGTWAAAGCATATTAATATTGCATATAACTTTATTAGAAGACTTTAGTAGGAAAAGAAAATTTCTATAGAATATCTTCTAATAAAGGAGATAATTATAGATAGGTTAACTAAGCTATTAAATAGACCTAGCTTTTAGACTTTTATAACTTAGTTAAGACTCTAGTAAATAAGAGGAGAATAAAGGGTAAAAAGGGTAGTGTCGCCTAAACTAAGTTTTTAGTCTAGGCGACATTATATACTAAGTTAAGGAATTGCACTAAGATAGTAGTTAAGATAGAACTATACCTCTAAGCTATAGGACTACCTTTCTATACTTAATAGAATCTATAAAATTATAGGGAAATATATTTAGCCCTTTCTTCCCTAAGTAGGAGTATTAAAACCTAATAGGTTTAGAAAGGGAAGAGAGCTTAGAGTAGAATCTACTCTAAGGTAAATTCCCTAGTTAGGTAATTAGGATACTAAGGCTAAAGGCACACACTTATTCTTAATATTTAGTTCTTAAGATAATTAATTTAATTAATATACTTGTTTAGTTCCTACTTTAAGTGCTATGCACCTTATAATAAATCAGTTTAAGATTAGAGTCTCTTATGTTACCCTTTGCCACTATATCCTATTACCTCCCTAGCCTCTAGATTTGGATTTTTAGTTAGACAATTTAACAGTTATAACGGTTAGTAAAGCACTACGTTCGGGGTTAAAGATGTTTATTTAACTACTCTAGAAGGTTATCTAAGCGTCGTTAAAGCGATATATAGCTATTTATTTACTCTATTTAGTAGTAACTCGCTCTAAATCCGGTTTCGATATATTTACATTCTCCGATATTAGTATTTAACGAGACACCTTAATCGATAGTATATCTGTCTTTCCTAACGTTTAACATCTATATAGTAGCGTAGGCGAAGCGATATACCGCACATTAGTCTACTCTATTTCGTATTAGCCGGCTTTATTTCGAAGAATTTTTTGTAATTATAATAGTTGCTTATAATAAGCCTCGAAGCTCCTTAACCGGGGTTAGGAACGTTTATTCCACCTATTAGTATACCTATAAAAGTATAGTTAAAGTAACACGCCGTATATAGCTAGCTCTATCCGTATTAGCTTCCCTAATCTAGCTAAAATAGTTGGATCTAATAGTAATTAAGGCTATATAATCGAGGGTAGATATGTCTTTTCGAACGATTAGAATATATCCTAAAGGTAGGTTATACTAGTATATTATATATTAGCCTACCTAATCTACACTCGTATTATTTTACTCGGGTAGTATTTACTAAGACTAGGAACCGGTAAGACACCTTATTCGATAGAAAACTCCCTTTCTTAAGCAATTAAAATAAGCCTCTAAGTATAGTTGCGATATACCGTATATTAGCTTACTTAAATAGCTTTAGTAGCCCCTAAATTCGTATCGTCTTACCCTATTCGAGCCTAAGTAGTACCTAGCGACACATTAGTACGCTAGATAGCAGACTCGCTTTTTTAGGCGATTAAAATAAACCTTTAAGTATAGTTACGGTGTGTCGTATATTAGCTTACTCGAATGTTAGTAGCCCCTAATTTCGCATTATCTTACCCCCTTAGCACGTGAATTGCTTCTCTAGCATCGAATCGATATACYGGCACCTCGAATAGCATCTTTATACCTTAATTTCAACTATTATTAATCGACTATAGCGTTTAAAGGTCCGTTGCATTATTAGTTCTCGTGCTAATGTTACCTATCTATACTAATAAGTCTAAGTAGTACTTACAACCTTCGATAAAGCGATATAATAACATATCTAGGCTATGATTCTATGCGGTTTAACATATCTGCTTAATCGACTATAGCGTTTAAAGGTCCGTTGCAATTTTTGTTTATGCTAATATTACTTGTCTCTACTAGGGGGTTAGAGTGGTACTTACAACCGTCGAGAAAGCGATATAATGACATGTCTAGGCCGTGATTCTATGCGTTCCAACATATCTGCTTCATCGACCATAGCGTTTAAAGGTCCGTTGCATTTTTTGTTCATGCTAATATCACTTCTCCATACTAGTGGGGTAGAATGGTACTTACAACCGTCGACAAAGCGATATGATGGCATGTCTAGGCCGTTATTTCATACGTGTCGAAACATCTGATCGATCGACCATAGCGTTTGAGGGTCCGTTGCATTATTGGTTCGTACCAATATCACTTGTTCCTACCAACAGGTCGAAGTGGTACTTGCAACCCTCGACAAAACGATATGATGGCATGTCTAGGCCGTTATTTCACACGTCTCGAGACTTCTGCTCGATCGACTGAAGTGCTAGATAGTCCTTTGCATAACTTTTTTCTCTGGACATTTTGGCCATGTCACTTTTTTCATTCCTCTAGACAAAGCGATATAATGGCATGTCTAGGCCGTTATTTCATGCGTCTCGAGACTTCTACTCGATCGACCATATTGCCAAATAGTCCGTTGCACAATTTTCCCCAAATTTTTCGCCATGTCACTTTTTCCATTCCTCGCTTGCGATCTATGTACAGGGACGATTATACGCAGAGCGCCGTCTGGGATATGGAACGACTGCAATGGTCTTCCACTCGTGGCATTGTATTGAGCTCAAGTAGCAAGCTGCAGGAGAACCGCGACCGGGAAGAGTACAGCACTTACCGGTCCCCTGAATTTGAAGTTCGGCTGAAGATATTTGCATCGACTTTGACAGCCTCCTCCGATCAACAACTTCATCCCATAGCCTCTGTCGTGGCAATGCAGTGCTTTGAAGTTGAATTGATTGACCTTGAGGACCAAAGGAGATGACCACCTCAACTCAACGGCGGCCCACACCTGGGAATACCAGAGAGGCTTCTTTGTGAGAGAGAGCATTGTTACACATGCAACAACAAAGCCCATGCTGCTCACAAAGATTATCCGTCAAGAATTGGCCTTAAGGACACAATGACACCTCGCAGTCTTGCATTAGGGATACAGACGGCCTGTGATTCTGCGACCTATCCTGAGACCTACATTTGACTTCATCTTTGACGTTATGAAAGGAGAAGCTTTCAGGGAGTTGTGGAAGCGGCTTCCAGTTTGATTGACATACGGAGTTCGAGCAGTTGAACTCATCTCTTGCAAAATCTTCGCATACAGATAGCATTTGAAGCCGCAGTGTTACCCGCGTCATTCCATGCTTCGCTCGACTTCCATCCCCGCTCAAATTCACATACGCCGTCTTCGCCTGAGCATGATCTTGATGCCGCTTTGATCGTTCACTCCTATCCCCATCCACTGTAAGCCGCTCCTTCTCAGCCTTCAACCCCGAGAAAGAAGGTCATCTTATCTCGCTGACGCACATCCATCTTCCGAATCCAGGAGTTAAAGGCCGGAACAGCACGAGCAGGAACCCAGAACACAGTATTGCCATAGAACTCTTTCTCCCAAAAAGCTCTCGACTCGGAATTGAGTTGAAGTGCGAGAGGAGTCTTGTACTGGTGCGAGGTGAACAATGGTATGACGTTATCCAGCTTTGCATCCTTCTTAAAGACGAGCGTGCGTTTCATTGTGTCAAAAGCATCAATGTCGATGAAACGGTAGATTCCGGGCTGCATGTCGTTGAAACGAGCACTGTGCGCATTAGGACGGTGCCGATAAACGAACGCGGATTGCGTCTGGCGGAACTCTTCTGTGCTAGAGGTAACGTATGCTTGACGCAGGTGGTCCCATTGGAGATGGCTTTTGCTGGGGATTGAGGCGGGCAGTGTGAGATCGAGTATCTCGCCCTTGAGCTCCTGAGGGAGCGAAGCGATCAATTCCTCAATCGTGCGAGAGGATGCTGCAGTATCGACGAGACTCTCCTGGCCGCGGGTAGACGAAGGAGTGCTGGTAGCGACTCCATCACCTTCGATGCCATCGCCCGGTGCGGAAAGCGGATTCGGAGCGAGATCCATCTCTTTGCTTGAGCTATCGTCGCTCTCGGAGTCCCATTCCATGCCACCATACAAGGACCACGGGGTGTCCCACGACTCGTCCATGTTGAGGTTGCTAGTGACGAGGCTGCTGTGTCCAGTCGACCAGAATGATGATGAGGTAGAGTGCAAGAGACAACGATGTTCGAGAAAGCCGGCGAAAGTGAAGAGGGGGCGGGATTTCCTGCACCGGAACAGCCCGTCCTTTGAAGGGACCAAGMGCAAGTTGCCTACACCAGGTAGATTCCGAGTTCTCGGACTTGCAGGAAGGACGAGATAAACTCCGTATGGAACAAGAAGGGGATAGAGACGATCTCAATCCTGCAGTTCGCCACCATCACGAAGGCCAGGCCGCCTGACCGAAGCCATCGATACCTGGATCGTCCGCCGAGAGAGAACTCTTCCAAGCAACTTGACAAGGTTGTCGACGAAGTCTCGCTCTCGACAATGTCGCCTACTCTAGAGACACTGGAACCCTCTTCGCCAGCGGAGAGGCCAGTCTAGAAGAAGGGGACTGATACACAAGGTCTACAGACTGCAAGATTGTATCGTTGTACACGCTGTAAAGCAACACGCGTCGGATGGTGAAACGTGCCGGCATATCATACATTTCTGGGACTTCATGTGGAGAAATGGAGAGGACTAAGCCACCATTTTGCAGATAATGATACGAGGATCCTTCACCGAGTAAGAGCTATTCTGTTCATCCTACACGTCGTTGGAGGCCTCGCTCTCACAATCGTCACCGATTCTTGAGGTACCAAATCCCCTTTTAGTAGCAGAGATGGCAACTCACAAGGATGAGATTTTCACTTAAAGGCCACGAACTCCGACGCCGCGTCACTTCACGCGTCCGATGCACCTTGAGTCATCGAGCATGTTTCTGTGCTCAGGTCTGTGAAATCTAGATCCAGCTCATGTTACACGTTGTAGAGACCACAAAACTGCCACTGAGGATTGTCAGCCCGTCGGGCTGTGGAAAACGAGATTGAACTCGCCATGTAGCGCTGGAGCGTGTCGGCGATTCTTCGTAACTTGCCTCAGGCCGTTGACAGCGCGTTTTACATGATGTGATCCTCCGACAAAGGACTTCGAGGAGCTGGTGAGGGCGCCAGGCTTGCAGGTAGAGTTTCGTTGAAGACATCTAAGCGAGTGTAGAGTACATCGCATCGTCTTTCTTTCATAGATGTCTATCGGAAGGACTGTTCATCGAGACGAGGATTTCTTGATCATTATCATACCGCTCTGAGGCCTTGATCTCCATGGCGTCGACGGTTCTGGGGCTACTGGAGCTCTCGACACTAGCAGAGTAGGTGGTCCACTCGGTAATGAAGCGAGCAGAGTATCCCCATTCATCTCCACAATTTCTCCAGACCTCGCTCTCTACWAACTCGACCACTCTTGGCCTGCTAGAGTACTTGTCATTAGCRAAGTGGCACGTTAATCAATCGAGAGAGTAGATCAGGTCGATTCTTTCTCATATCAACAGTTCTGCATCTACGATTTCCTCTCACTCAAGCAGCTTCACTCGAGCTCGCACACCTCAATATCCCAATTTGCTGAGAATCGTCATCTTCTCGACCTGCTCCTCGCTAAGTCCCCGCGCCCACACTCTGAACGCATCGCGATCCTGGTCTCGAATCCAAAACACCCTATCCTCGTAAAAGACCTTCTCCCAGAAAGCCCTAGTCTTCGAATCGATCTGCAGAGCAGCCGGAACCCTGTACATGAAGTCCAACACCACGACGCGGTCCTTTAGTAGATCTCCATCCAGCTTGCGGCGGTACTTCATACAGCCATCGGATCGAACACCGGAGAACCACCACACGCCCCTCGGTATATAGAAGTATGTTCGGTCATTTATGCGACAAGGCCCTTTCATCTCCACGACACCGTCATTGTCATAGCGTTCGGGAAATAGTAACGGAGCCTGTGGATGATTTTGAAGAGGCGACACGATGTATTTGCTCTCCCCTTCGATCCAGTGGAGATGTTGTGTAGGTGGAAGCGTCGCGGCGAGCGTGTAATGCAGGATCTCGTCCTGGATTTCTTGTGCGCAGGATAGGATGAGTGTTTCGAGGGGACGTAGGGAGGCTGCGACTTGCAAGTTGGTGATGCTGGCCAGATTGAGCGTTGTACTGATGGTCGCTTCACAGGTCGCGTTGCTTGGAGCAGCGCGGTCTTGGTTGATGTACGAGAGCAAGGCGGCTTGAGAAAGAGAAGGAGAGTCGATGGCGGGAAAAGAATCGAGACTGAAGTATTCGGATCCCGTGTAGTCGAAGGCTCGCGTTGGAGGTGGTGGCATCGGGAGGGCACGAGTAGCGGAGTCGCCGTCAGTTGTGGGAACTGTATGAGCTGGTCGCGCGGTTAGTGCTTTGATCAGAAAGGCAGCCATTTTGGACACGGAACTCACTCAAGACCGCAGAATCAGACGCGGTCGTGTGTAGCTTTTTTTCAACCCGCGTATTGCTGGACGCCGGCTCGATGCGCGCGATTCGAAGCGGCGAAGGCTTGCTGGCATCGTTGGCCTCCATGTTGGCGACGTCGATGGAACAGGGTGACGGTCCGATGTCAAGGACTTGGAGAAAGAAAATCAAAGGTTTGTGAAGAGTTGAGAAACCAGTGCAGCTGCAGCGGATCATCCCGCTTCAGATTACCAGCGCGACGAAGTGACTGTCGGGCGTACGTGGGTCGTCGATCTAGCCGCTCACGATGCAGGATGATGGGCAGGATTCATTTAGATGGAGAACCTTCAACGAAAGGGTGAGATACCATCCACCTACTCCAGGAGTTTCATTTCATCACTCGAACGTCCCCACAAGAACCTCCACAGCATCTCCACCTTTCGCGTCCAATAGTCCAATCTATTGCTCACACACCCCGAAACACTCTTCGCAGCCCAGAACACCGCGCCTCTCATGGTATCCTTTGGCTTAGAAAGCCCGTGACTCTCAATCGATCTGCAATACCAATAGAAGCTTGTAAGAAGCCACCGAGATAACAATTGTTGTCTTTGCGCATAAAGCTGCTATTCATCAGAAGGTGTTCCAATGATACTCTGGCATCTTTGCCAATGAATCCGAAGACGCTACGTTATTTGCCGATGATTCGTGAATGGATGTTGCGGTCCTTGCTGTTGGGTCGTAAACGAGGATACGCAGCAGGATGGCAGTCTGTAGTCCTTAAGGAATAGWTATACTCGACGCGGTGACCGAGGATTGTGGTGTTGCAGCGGTAGTCCCACAAGCTGCAAGTGTCCTGCTTGGCTTCGGAAGACTCACGAGAGGGTACTTCAAGACCGACGACGGTATCCCCAGCAGTATCTGTATCTCCCAATCCACTTCCAAAGTTCCTGTTCGAACATGCAATCGCAGGTTCCCAGAAGGCTCGATAATCGTGATGGTAGGTTGAAGGACCATACTGCGCCGTGAGTATTTAGCTCGCCGTAGATCTGCGACGGGGTTGAGTCCCTTGTCCAAGGGACCAGAACCGAAGTGATAGCACCGTTGAGAAGTGCAGCGCGTGTGGCGAGAGACCCGGTGATCGGGCCCGTTGATAGCGGAGTAAAGGGACCCAAATGAGCGGGAACTGAGATTTGGACGACAGGCGAAGGAGCGGGTGGTGCTGGTATAGTCGCCGTGTCTGGCGTGGCCGTAGAACCACTGGATGAGGCCGCTTTGTTGGTCGAGGRGACATCCCCGAGTTACCGGGCCTCAGGGCGAAGATCTGCACCGTGGCAGGATAAGTTGTACTGGATGACAGCCGTGTTGGAAAACAGACAACGGTGAAGACAACTTGATTACCGAACATCTCGTGGATCGGTAGCACATCGCGAAGAGTTAATGTCGCATCATCGCATGTCAGGCTGCTCCTTCGGTATTGCTAACAAGGGAGTCCATTCCGACAATGACAGACGTTGAGAGAGACGCAGTCGAGGCTCTGAGCACAAAGATCGGCAAGGCACACTTTAGAAGAAGTTGCTAAAAGAGTTGAAACGCGAGTGGGCACGGGAACGGGCACTTTATGAGTGGCTGGTGTGGAGTGTTACGCTTGGTATGGAAGGTCAAACAAGCCAGAGCATACTATACAGTATCAACAAAGGCATGACAAGACGTATGAAAGTCAGGGCTTACGATGCCGGAAAATAGCAAAGGGTAGAACATCGCAGTACCTGTCCACGAAAGCTTTATCCGCCGACCAGTTTGTTCTTGGCCTGCAGCGACCGTTCTCGACCCTCCGTCGTCTGTACAAGTTGTGTATACAATACAGACATCAAGATTGTAACGTGGTGCGGTTATTCCAATCGACGYCAAAAACCAAACACTCAACCTTCGAGAGCCTTCCTCAACACCCTCTCACACCTTTCCCTCCACATCACAAGATGTCCCTCTGCACCTTCAACATCCACAGCCCTGATAGCCTTCAACACCGCCATAGCACGTTCAACGGCTCCCTCGCCGTCAGGACTCAAAGGCGGAGCCTCTGACTCCATGGAACAAAGCGTCTCTCCGAGAATTGCTTTGGCCTCCGCAGAGCCTCTAATAGCTTTCAACATCTCTATCGTTGCGTCCTCGAATTCGGACTCTGCTGGAAGTCCTTCCATCTCATCTGCTCCAACACCGAGGATCATTCCATCGTCTCGAAGAGTACGTCGATTGGATGAGAGTGTGCGGAAGGCACCGGAGGCGATGTGGTTGAACATGGTGGTGTAAAGGCCTGCACTGCGACGAACACCGAGTGCGGGAAAGGAGCGGAAGGTGCTGTAGAATTGCTCCGCTTCGTCTTCTGGGGTCTGCATGGTGGGTTGATGACTTGAGTCTTCTGTCGCCTCGGCATCGGTCCTGGCAGATTGAGCGATTGCATCCCACTGGCTTGGCTCGTGGTTGTTGTTGTTATCCACATCTTGCAGTTTTTTTGCCGAAGTGTGATATGCTCGTATCTGTTGTCTCCCCCGAAGACCTCGGATTCTTGCTGGACGATGTTGCTCACCCTCCGCTTCGGGCGCTGAATCAACCTCAGCCAGCACCTCTTCAGCGGCCACCTTCGCAGGCTCAACGACTTCAACAACTTCCTCAATCTCTTCCTCAATCGCTTCCTGCTTCGCAATAGCCTCCTTCTCCCTCTCACTCTTCTTCAACACGGCAGTCCACAACTTCTCCAGATCAACCTCCTCCCTCTTCTCCTCCGTCAATATCTGCACCACAATTCGTACACCTGAGCTCTTTCCAGGTCCAAACCCAACGAAAGCTCCCTCCTTCTCGACCACCTGCTCTCCACTGTCAATCACTCCTCCTTCGGCACCCTCCACAACTCCAACATTCACACACACCCACCCCGTCCTTATCCCCTCTGCAAGATCCTCACCATCACCACCACCCTTCCCACCAACTGCACCCATCAACTTGCTCCTCTTGGCCTTTCTTCTCAACTTCAACTTCAACTCTTGCCTACCCAACAGTCCATCCGCATATGGAGAAAGGTAATGTTCACTCCTCAACCATCGACATAATTTATCCGCACTGACATGTAAATGCTTCTCACTTCTTGCCGTCCCAATCAACATCAACAGATTCGCACCCAAAGCAGGCGGAGGGTCCAGACCCCGCAGATCCAACAGAGTGAGGTCGTCAATACCCAGTTCGACGGATATTTGCTTCAGAAGAGGCGCGAGAAGTGGCGGAGGATTTTCCGGTAGATCGGGCATTCGTTGGCGTTCTGCAATGGCATCGGGAACGGTGGATTGTAGTGGCGATGATGTGCGGAGATACCAGGGAATGTGTTCCGCCTCTTCACTTTCTTCCACTTCTGCTTCCATCTCTTCTGCCACATCCTTTGCCTCATCTTTAAATAGATTTGCCGCCTCTTCATTGACATTATTCAATGCAAGCTCGTCGCTTTCGCCATGTTGAATGCGCTCGCGTGCTTCGTTCCATCGTCGCGGAGGTGCCGAGAAGTTTCTTCGTTGGGGTGCAGCGACTTGGGGAATATTGAATGTCGTAATGAAGGATTTCACCAGCCATTGTCGACAATGCGAGCATGCCAACGTCCGGGAGAGCGCCATTGCGATGTGTGTGTAACGAGGATGTGGGAGATGTTGTAAGGTGCGGAGAAGCTCGGCGGAGCTCGGTCAATCTCGCATTCGGGAATCGGCTGTTCAGCCCTACGCCGAATCCACATTTATTTTCAGAACGTCGGCCGGAACGGAATAACTTTGTTGCCGTGGGTGTCCATACGCAGTGGAGCGACTCGCAGCGTGTATGTCAAGTAGGACCATACAGAGTCATTTTTCGTTGGACCTATGAAGCTGTCCGTGTACAACAGCCAACAGCGTCGGTTAACAACCCGAGAATATTCCACATCAGCAACTGCACCATCGAAGACATTCCTAATGCCATGGATCATTGAGAYTTTCTCGCCTCACACGACCGCCTCCCGACTTTTGCGGAAGATCATTGCATCACTACATCCCCATAGCCACTGGCAGTTCCTTGTTGGTGTATGCATGTGAATTGAAAGCAAAAGCGCAATCTTAGAACTCATCTATCGAAAAGTACATCACGATCGGCCTTTCTATTGAGATATTCCACAATCACCTAATCACTCTCCAAAATTCAGCAAGGGTGATATCCCTTCTCACATCTCTCGCAGAGCACCACGGCATCAGGTCTTGCTGTTTGGCAGACACCGGACCTGCCACCCTCGTCCTACGGCTCCGGATATCCTCCCTCTTGATTCCGTCTTCGTCTCCGACACGATCTTCGTCACCCACCCTTCTAGCTCCACGAACTCAGGAGGTCTTCAGAAGACTTGCGTCCTGCCGACTCGTACCTGGGGCCACTGCTCTTCGCTTTCGCTGGTCTTCCTCGATCCATCGGCAGGATGTGTGATTCTGGGTCCGGCGAACGGGAAGCTGGTGTAGATCTTGTCCTCGATGTGGAATGGAACATGTCTTGTACTCCAGTCGGCCAGTGATAGAGATGTAAGAAGAATCGGGACGGAAATCCTATCCATTGTGTCGTCCTCGCGGGAGTAATCATCTGGGTATCCATCGCCCGAGCGAGGATCCGCTTGAGGAATGGTAGAGCATTTGTGTCCGCAGTTGTGACTGGAATGTTGACATGGTGATGCAGGACGAGTAGCGCTTCTTGCTTGCTGCGTTGGTGACGATGATGCCGAAGTATAGCCCGCTCTGCTGGTGCGCTGTACAACATCTATTTCTCTTGGTTCCTGAAGCATCGTCTAGCGAGAGAGCCAACGAAGCACGACCAACTGACAACGCACAGAGCTCCCGAGTACGAGACAGCAACGACAGATCAACCAGTCTGCTCCTGATCTCTATAGAAAGTCCCATCTCCTCTGCTCCACGAACAGTAGGACTCCGGAATCGGAACCGCCTCTTCAGCGACCACATCGACAATCCTCTGATGCTCCAGCAAAAGCACGAACTTATCAGCTCCAGGGCAGACACGTTTCTTCCCATCTCTCTCCCTCTCCCACAGCTCAAAAACCTCTTGTACCCCTTTCGTACGAAGCCAGTTTGCCGTCCACTGGATCCGCCCAAGCGGAGGTGCGACCCTTGTCGAAAGGCCACTGTACCAACGATTTGTCCAGAATCCAGCACACTTGATGGTTTGGATCAGATCGCGGTGTTCTTGTGTAAGTGACTTGAGCCATTTGAAGCAGTTGTGCAGCATTGGAAATGTCTCATCGTCACAGACGAAGAAAGGGGTGTTGCCGTAGTATTTCTTGGCGAACCTGGCTCTGGTCTGGCGGTTGATCTGTAGTCCGAGGGGTGGTATATACTGTAGTGGTGAGATGTATACGAAGCTCTGTTCCGTGGAAGATGGGATCGCGCGTAGCTGGAGTGGTCCTTTCCCTGGCGCAGAAGTCACATCCTCGATCGTGGCGAGGATTAGTTCATGTTCACTGGGTAGCGCGGCCATGAGAGTCTTCTCAAGGATCATATCTCTCAGTTCCGCTGCGAGACCTTGGATGTGATATTGGAGCTTCGTGAACTCGGTGGTTGTGAGATCGGTACTCGAAGGACCATGCGATCCGACGATTGTGGCTGCTACAGTGGGAACCACTTTGATGGAAGCCATGGCTCTCCTGTTTTGTTGGAGGTTGAAGATATAAAGGAATACTGCGCGTCAAGTCTCGTCAGAAATCTAGATTCGATCAACGAGTTAATGTGTAGCCTACGATTCTTTCGAACGAATGATATAGCGAAAGCCTGAAAACGACGGCTCCGGCGACGATGATGCTGTGTTGATGCTCTAGCCGTGAACAAAGGGGAGGGTGCAACAAAGGTGCCGAAAGTAAACAATCCTTGAGAGACAACGAACGACGAGCTTATGCAGCGTGGTGTTCGTCTTCCAGTTCGTCCCCATTAAGCGTTAGGGTAAACGGCCTCGGCCGCTGCGCGTTGAATGGATCCTTGATGTCGAAGTGACGGCACCATGGCCTGAGCGCTCCTAAGAAACAAGGCCTTCCTCGAGGGCAGATCTGAACCGTCGTGTTGGGTCTCGAGAACGAGCGTTAGGAGGACAACGGCTGTCATGTGGGATGACCGTATCATATTCTGCAGACTAGTCCTCCTAATCGGTGGCGGCATGTCGAACGACAAGCGCTGGCTGGGGAGATTCTTGCTGCTATGTAGTTCGACGCGCCACTCTAGGACCCAGCATGAATTAGAAGACGAGAGATCATGAGGAAGTCGTCAAAAGTCAACGAGAAGTAGTTCATTTCAATCAGCTTTAAGCAGTACAAAGAAGCAAGCAAACTCAAGTACGCAACACTCCAGAAAGTTTCCACACTGTAAAGCAGCACCAGTCCCAACCTTCACACAGGATTTGTCTGCTCACAGTAGACGCGTTCTCCCAATCCTTGTGTAGCTCACGTCTTTGTTCCACATCTGACTTTTCTGTTTGCAGATGGGCGTGTCATGTAATGTCTTTGTTCTGTCTGGACTTCTTCGCGATACCTTCCTCGTTTTTTCTTCCAACGTGAGTGCACGATATGCCTAGCCATCACCGCAGCAGACAATTGAAATGAATGATCGTCAGAAGAGGCCAAGCCCCATCTCTGACTATGATAAGAGACCTGTCCAAAGTATACGCCAGTGAGGAACAATGCAACGTTCGCGAAGCACTCCTCGAGAGTTGGGCATGCTGATCGATAGACCATATCGTTTGGACTGCCATGAAGCTACGCCTTCGTGTCACCATAGCAGCCTGTTGTAGTGTCGGTAAAGTACAGCCAGGTTGCAAGGGATGCAGTGATGAAGAAGCTACCATCACTCTGAACGGAAGACTTCCAGCTTGCTGTAAAATGTACCATCGCATCGGAACCACGTGCAGTCGAGGCAGGGGTACGAATGGGGAATCGTCAACTTGTCCCTCACAAGAAGAACCAGTCGATCGGCCCAGAAGGGAAAATAATCGGCCGGTTTGTCATTCTTAATGCCCCTCAATCCTTCAAAGCTTATCGAAAGCTCGTGCTGGGCGTCTTTGGCCAATTCGTGCACGTAGGATGCCCGGAACTGGGCAAACTGAATCGTAGTAATCATGGCGCGATGGCTTGGAGCAAGCGACTTAAGCCACCTATTGCACTCCCAGTGCGCCATGTCGTGGTCGTGGAGGTAGAATACAGTGCTGCCGTAGAAGAGCTTGGCGAGAAACTCTCGACTCTTGCTGTCGATGCGGAGGCCGGTTGGAGGCTTGTGTTCCCATTTGTCGATCCAGACGACCTGAACCTCCCCATCTGGCGTGTCCGCGCGCACCCTGTGAGGGATGACTTGTCTGTGTTGATGCATCCGAAGAAAGTGCTTCTGAGGTATGGTGGCGATGAGAGTGCATTTGAAGATGGCGTCTTGAAGCTCCTGGGCGAGGTTCTTGATGTTCGTGTTGAGCGCCTTGTATGCTTCGCTCCGAGTGGCGTCCGAGAGACCAGGGGCATTTGCAAGGGGTGTAGATAGAGGCCCTGTCAGGAAGGCTTTGAGCGATGGTCGACATTGTAGCGGTGATGATGGGGAGAGTGTTGCTGTTTAGACTTCCGTTGTGGTAGCGAGAGATGATGCGCGCTGATGAAGGTTAACAACGCGCACTCCCATTGACGCGCCGGCTAGGAGACTAACGCGACTTGCGGATCTGAAGGTTGAACAAGCGTGCCAATAGTCCTTGTGTGATGGACGGCAGGTGCAGATGATCAGGTGACGGTGAAGACAGTGTAAGTAAAGGGGTTGTTGAACTTCAGAAGTCGTTGCAGGTCCGTCAATGTTAAGAAAGGGTTGCTAGGCGGAAGCCTCAGGCGGCAGTCTCCCGTTCTTCACTGCCTTACTCATCACAACATCCTCCCTCCGCGACGACCTCCGCGCTACCTACCAACATCAACTCACAAGCTGCTCTAACAGCAGGGATCGGCCACTGCTTCTACACAAAGCGCTACACAAGCACATCTTCCTCAGCGCCCGCCGACTCGGTACTACTTTCCTTTCAGCAGCTCGGCTCTTGCTCCGCCAGACAAGTCCCAACTCGAGCTTACCACAATCAGACCACAACACTCCGCAACAATGCGTCAGTCAACTTCTTACAACGACTGGCACACGCGCAAGGCCAAGGGATTCAACAAGGCCAAGGAGATCAACAAAGCCGAGCTCTCGTTCACGCGTCTTCCTTCATCCAGGAACCTCTCTTCAGCAGCTGCCCGCCGAGAGTACGATGAGCTCAATCTGAGAATCCAAGACCTGCCCAGTGAGCTCTTCAACATGTGCCTTGAGTACACGCTACGCGCAACACTTCCAGTCCTCCAAAAGCGAGTTTCAACGCCGCAAGGACTTGGCTGGATCATGGGGCCAGCTGCTCCAAACGACCCTCCCAACACCTCAAGCGTCATCTGCGTGTACCCAGATGTCTACAGACCACCACTTGCGCTCCAGCTTCACCACAAGCTCCGCAAATCCTTCGCAATTCAGTACTACCGCGACTCGGAGTATGAGTTTTGGGGTCCAAATCGAACCTACGGTGACAAGGGCTTCTACAAGTGGGTCTGCCAGCTTTCCCCGGAGCATCGAGATTCGGTGGATGAAGGCCGTGAGATTCGCAAGAAGAAGATTGCGGAGGAGGGGGGAGACAAGCAACTGGAGTTGACGAGCGCGTATGTGAGGGTGAACACTCGTAGATGTCGACGCTGAGGGACATTTGCATTGGAAGGAAGGTAGCTTGCGCTCGGCGTCGTGGGTGGCAGCGTAAGATCTCATTTGAAACGGGCTCTGGATGCTTGCTCTTGAAAGGCGCTTGGGAAAAAGGTACAATAACGGTGATTTTGGGCTCTCCAATTCGGATCGCTTGACACCGTCTCATCCCGAGAGCCCATCTTGCGCATGAATACGATCTTCACGATTATGGAGTCCGTCTTCATGTGCTTTTAGGTAGTGAAATCAAAAAGCCCGACGCACATGGCCCCAAAGTATACTGATCGAAGTTAAACCGGTCCCTTTCGATTCTCCACTCGATTTAGCAAGTCAGGGCTGTCGACGTAAGAGTCTCCCAAAGGCACAGCGTTGGCAGACAAATCTCCTGCTTGAATAACGCCATCTTCAGAATATTATAGCGTGTATCCCATCGTGCATCACACATGGTCTGGCCATCGGCCTATTACTAGCCGCACGCTCATCAGTTCGTGGAGAAGTCCATGCGCATAAGTTGGCCTCATCTCCTCCTCTCTTCACTTTGAACGACACCTAGATCATCTTCCAAACTTCGGCGACTTAAAGGTGAGAACAGCGAGCTCTGGTTCACGCGAGAAAACTCACTGACTCCATCGTTTACAGGCTCTCAAACATGGCACCTGCAGTCGATCGCCATATCGTTCACTACGGGCCACAATGTGACGACATGGAGCTCGATATCCCTGCTTTCATCACCGTTTCCAACCCGAACGCGCTTGATCAGAGAATCGAGGCTCTCCCACAAGAGCTGAAAGACATGATTGTCGAACACCTCGTGGCCGCAACGATGCTTCCTCAGTACACAATCGTTCCTGCACGCTCAGCCAATAACAACAGTGACTCGCACCTCAACCTTGCACGTACCAGCAGTCTCGGAAACAAGGGAACCGTCATCCGAGTTCACTACAGCTCGTCAAGGCCACCCAATACCTACAAACCACCAGCGGGCCTTCAAATCAACCGCAAGACCCGCGCCGAGTTCGCGAAGAGCTACTACCGCAACAATATCTTCTCCGCGAAGACCTGGGAAATGGACGGAACGATCTACACAGCTTTCTGCTGTCCCTCACAAGGCAACATCGCGCATTGATCAAGGTCATCAAGTGGAACGCGTTGTTCAGATCAAACCTGCTGCTTAGAACTCAAGTCTCATCAAGCCACAATACCCGTATGCTTAGACATTTCAAGGTAGGATCGCGGCTTGGATTGGAGAGAAGCTCCTGGATCCATACGCTCCCTAGCGGCGAAACATTCATCCCGCTAGTCTTAGTCCACCGCTCTAGAGGCGATGCCAAGAAGAACATCCTACGTTCATAGGATGTATGACGATGGACCTTGATGGAGTTTTGATGCGCGATGAAATGATGGCATGATTGGGAAAGGATTGCACGGAACGATGAACCAACATAGATAGTCGAACCTGAACGGTAACCCTCATCAGATGGCAAGCGACGCCATGCTCGTCACAGATCTTTGTCGTGCTTACTTTACTGTACATTTAAGTTCATCATGTGCTTCTAGATGTTGTCGGGGCGCATGGAAGGCCCCTGCCGCACGCGACTTAATTTCTGATATYCTACATCCCCTCCACCGCGTCCGACACAACAACATCTTCGCAAATCTCCACATTTGGCATAAAGTATGCGGACTCGCTGCAGCATCATTCAGTCTTGATCGCATCGCTAATTGCTTACAGGTGTCGTCTACCACGCCATGTCTCCTGCCAAAGCAACCTCCTCGCTGGCGAACAGTGTCGTCGTCGCCGCCAGCAACCCAACAATCGAGATGAGGATCCAAGCTCTGGCACAAGAGCTCCAAGACATGATCTTCCACTTCGCTTTCATTGCACCACTCGAAGGCCTCACAAACATCACAATCTCGGAGTCTTACAAAACACCAGTCGCCCTCCAACTCGACCGTAACACGCGCACTTCGCTCGCGAAGAAATACTACAACAATGCCGTGTTCCACACTAACGACTTTGGCGACTCGATCTGGATTTTCAAAGAATGGTACTCGTTTCTTTCCAGGGCGCATAAGCTCGAGATTCGGAACATCGCCTGCACACAGGTCAAGGAGCCATTCGTCCCAAGTATTACAGAAGACTACATCCGAAAGTTGCGCTCTGGGAGAAGGTATGACATTTCTATCGAGGGACTCTACGGCTGGCTCCACATCGCGCCCGTCGAACGTGGTCTTTCCGACACCGCGTCCTTCAAGGGTGTTTTTTCCGTCATCGATCACGACTCATCCATGTGATCCTTTACACCAGGCAGGCCAAGAGTCTTGGAGACTTTGTTTACTGTGTGAACGTACTGGAGTGGCGATCGAGACGTGGTATGAGTGGAACGAGTGTCGGAAAGTGGTGTCGTGCGAGGACATGGATGCCTGGGAAGAGGCAATCGAAAAGCTCATGAACGCGAGGCAGGTGCCAGCGTGAAGAAGACTCCTGCTTCTGTCGATGGCACATGGTCACTGGACTTACGGCGCATGCAAATCAAAGCCAAGAGGGTCTTTTCGAGCAATTGGTGGCGCGCCTGTTTGGAGGTGCACCTCGCGCTCCCACCGGRGCAGGCATGACAGTTTTCAAAAGCGATACGTGAGCGAAGAGTTCTTTAGCGTAGAATAACAGGGAAATTTTTGATAGATTCATCTGGCAGTCTGCTCTATATGATAGTCCCGTGGCCGTTGTTGCAGTGAATATACCTTTGAACCATATAGCCTCTGACATGTAGTATGTGACAGCCATCCCCAAGCGCGCGAAAGATCTCTGATAGGTAAGAGCTTTATTGCAACAGGTACCCTTACTACGGTCAGTGATCCTCCAAGCTTGATCCCTTGTGCGCTCGTGCTTTCGCGTCGCGTGTTTCCTGCCGTAAGACCAACTTTCCAACTCTACAACTTCATCCAATCTTCACTACAAGGTATGTACACTCGATTCGACGAAATCTACTCTTCAGCAGCGTGTTTCTAATCAATCAGGACCCAGAGCTGCGGCGCCATGGTCTCCTCCAATCCGTATCAGCTGCCCGTGCCAAGCGGTAGCCTCGACAGCACCGTCACACTCGAATCGCGCATCGAGTCTCTTCCGCAAGAGCTGCAAGACGAGATTCTTCGCTTCACCATTCTCGCTATGCGTCCTGCAAGAGTGAGACTTGTGAACAATGAAGCGACTCCTTCAAGCCACAGATCCCACGGTGGCTGCACTGCAATCATCCCTCGATTCCACCTCCAAGCCACACACCAAGACGACGAATGCGGCGTTGTTTACATTGACCAAAACTACAAGCCCTCGACTGCGCTTCAGATCAATCGCAAGATCAGGCGCGACGTTGCGAAGATGCTGTACTGGGACATGGTCTTATGTTACGACTTGTCCGCCCTAGCTAAATGGCGACAGTGGTACAGATCACTGTCTTTAGAGCATTACGACATGTTGCGAATCATTCCACTGCGCCYGATGATGGTGTTCCATCCCTTCGTGCTCGCGGACAAGCCCACTCGGCTCTTTGCGAGGCGCTTCCGTGAAAGCGATGGAGTGGTTGTGACAGTAAAGGCATCGCGCGATAGCCGAGGGATGAAAGATGAAGATGCCTAACCGCCTGTGAGTTAAATCGAGTGCGATTCCCCCATCATTCCAATTGCTGATCCGACGCTCAGGCATCCTCTGCGACCGCATCGGCGATTGTGCCAGTGAGCAGCTGCCTAGCAGACTGGAGCAACATGATCTCCACCGCGGCAGCAACGCGACTTCTACTAGAAGGCGCTTGGGATAGCATGCATTCGATGGCATTGTTCGACAGAATCACTCGGCCTACGGAGATGATCGAGGGGAAAGCGGCAGTGCAATCAAGGGCCGAGCGAGACTTACTGAGCAAGCTCTCCGTGAAGGGGCATGCTGAAGCTTGTCGGGAAAATCACTCGGCTAGGAAAAGTACCTGACAATGTGAACCCTTTGAGGAATTCTGTAATACGGCAAATAACAAATTATTGAAGCAAACAACTGCGTAGATATAGCCAGCCCTCTGACCGGATGTGCTGAGCCATTCTTCCTTTTTGTTGGTGCGACGGCGCCCTGTATACTCTTCCCCAAATCTACGAGCATGGAGTAAGTTACAGCTTTCACAAATGACCCTTCCTCCATTTTCTCTTCATTCCGTAAACTCTACAGCAGAACTACAAGTTGCGCCCATTGAGCCCAGGAGAAGTGTTGTTGTCATAAGCTTCTCCATAGTATGGTACATCTTAACTCTGTCCAAGAGAGTTCCAATCTCGCAGTCAGCAATACAAAATCACGGCTATTGGTCAAAAATTCCCATGGATACAATGGATTGAAAATAAATTGTGAGCCATGTGGTTCATACCCGCATCCCTCGTGCGACCTGAGCCGTACCCGCACCTCGTCGATCTTCTTCTCTCTCTCTCAAAATCCTCAGCACTACTTACAACTCACCGTATACATCGCCATGGCTCCCCAACGCAACGATAAGGTCGCCAAGTCACCAGTCAACCTCGACCACATCGCGCAGGCGGCATTACTGCTCCGGCTGCCTACGGAGGTCAAAAATAAAATCATCTTCCTCGTATGCATCGACACCAAGATGGATTACCGCCGGAAGCGACAAGCGCGCAGGCTCGTCGGTCTACCTCCGCCTCCAGTCCTGCGTCGAAAGCGACAAGTGCGCGGGCTTAAAGGCATGCCCACGGCTCCGTTTCTCATGACATGCAAGCAGCTATATGCAGAATCTGTCAAGGTGAATCCAACTCTCCATACACCCTTGTCCTCGCTGATCTTGCCTCGCAGCTATTCTACGCACGTGCCACTTTCAACTTCGCCAATATGACCAGACTCCATTTCTGGCTCGATGTCGTCAAACGCGCCAGGTTGAAGCATGCTAAGCATGTCTTCTTGGAGGGACATCCTGTCTTTCCCGAGGCTTTGCTTGGCGAAAAGGCCGAGAAAGGTCTGCTGGTGAGTTTCAAATGATGTTGCTCCAGCTCAATCGATTCGGAAACGCTGACTTCCAGAAGTACTTGTACAAGGGCGGACTTTCGGTTGCTGGTGGGAAGCCCAGGTGGCTTTGTAAAGTCGAGGGTACTTGGTGTTGAAGATCGAGGAGCGGGTGGAGGAAGCGGCGGTAATGCTGCAGTGAAATTCTGGCGATGGATGTACGGTGGAGCGGCTATTACAGAGCGTCTGCTTGCTGGGTGAAATCTATAGGATTGATAGATAGCGCTGCTGCAGACATCAGATCCGCACAAACTCGGGAATATTATTGTCAACGTCGGTTCGTGTTTCTGTCACCACTGCCGATATGAGAAGTCATCAATAAGACTAGCATCCTTACCTTCTCTCTCCACTGAATGAACGGGCACTGCGCTAGTAGCAAATGCTCTAGCAGCTCCAAAATCACCGGTCATGTAGGGAGCTCTTGAGCGGTAGAGTTGTGGCTGAGGGCACCTTGTCTCGGTGCATGATGAGGTTTCCCGTATCGGTTGCTCTGTTGTTCCCAAGATCCGTAGCAGAGAGAATGCCGCTCAGCCATGCTACATGCCCTCAGACTGACAGGTGGAGAACTCGATACTCGCCTATAAGAGCACGCTCGAATGCTCTCGCTTTTCCGCCTGTCGCGCTCGGTGTATTCCAAATCTACATATAACGGAGAGATCGCTGACTTCTACATTGTGCTGCTTACTAGCGATGGCATCTCTATTATCATCGCCGGATCCCGGCATTCAGGGCCAGCACTCGGAATAGGAGCGCTATCAAGCACGACAGAGAGCGAAGTAGTGGAACGTGGAGATTCTGGTGTTAGGAAAGCTTTGAGCGTACATGCTTTAGCGTAAGGAAGGCTCTCTAGTCCACTAAACCGCTCGTAGAGGAGAAGGTAGGTTGGTTTCAAGGAGTCCGCGAGCTCGTATCCTACTCTCCTCGTCGTCGACAGACAGCCAAGCTCGTGGACAGGTAGCTCTGGCCGCTAAGCTAAGTAGTGTTGCGGAGAGTCGATCGTCTTTCCAAATCATCTCTCTCAGAAGAAGGAGTGGTGGAGCAACTGCGTGTATTACAGCTGTTCTTACTTCAGTGAGGGTTCTGTACATTACATCCACCTGTACGCATTATCACCTCCTTACAACATACGCTTTTCATCTCTCTCTCTCTCTCGCAGTATTTTGATGCTTGTGAAAAAGGCAAAGTCTCTGGATGCGGTGGAGAGTGCGGCGAACTCTAATCTCCCTCGCCCTTGGACCTCACTTCCCCAGCTTCTTTGTCTTCTCGCTCCCAACCACAATCACCTCCATCGCCCCAGATGCTATATCCTCGGAGGTCCTATGCAGAAGCACACCACGCCAATGGATTTCGTTCAAGTGGATACGGAAGGAGTGGAAACCAGGGACATGATCGGTAAGGCGAGATCCTCGGGACATGCATAGCAATGCTCATACTGGAACTCCAGCAAAGCTAGCCTACTTGAGAAGATCTCTCTGGTGGAGGAGCACCATCACGGTGATGGCATGCATTTGACGGGCATCAAGCCTGGCTCGGAGTAAGCTGAATCAGGAATACCCGCCAAAGGCCCAGCGCGGTCTTCAATGCCGCCAACCAAGGCTAGATAGGGAAGCCCTGCACAGCRAGACGAATCAGTACATGGCGACTCGCCAAATTACTAGCTCTTCCTTGACTTTACAACCATGCTAAATGGCACGACCGTCTCGGTGAAGCAGGAGCGACAACGTCCTGACTGCGGCATGTATTTGGGAATTCGTTAGGACAACGATCCAGCACAGGCCGATGTGAGTGATGTCACATCAGACAGCTTGCTTACTGAGTCGCCACAGTCGCAGCGCGAGGAAGGTATGTGTGAGGCTGGCTGCGAGAATGCAAGGCGAGGAGACAGTTGAAGATGTCGGTCTTACGACCAAGCGACCATGCAGGCGCCTATCAGGAGCGGCTTGATGTCGTGCCGCTCCGTCATCCTCAAAACCGCTACACTCGTTGCAGTGAAGGCTCGTCTGATCTGTCAGGTCCGGGACGAGTCGCTGGGTTGAAGATACAAGAACGTCGCCACGCTTCACGTACATTCAGCCGCAATAAGCATGACATCAAGGATGTTGAAGAAAGCGAACGACAGCGGGACATACGAGTACCCGGCTTAGAGAAGATCAAAAGTAGGAATTCGGAAGCTGTGCCTTTGAAGTTGTCATCGAATCTGTCTCCACCGTCCCGTGCAATTCAGCAGACATCGCTCAGTCCAGGTGTATTCTTGACCATCGCATACATCTTGTCCGCTGATGGTCAGGATCTCACTACTTTCAGATACRGATGCTGTGCCGAGAGCATACTCTCAATGTMAGTGCCGGGACACTCAAGACTTCTCGATCCGAGGATGGACATGCCGACAGCTCTGACCTCCTTCCATGTCACCTCACCTGTGTCTTCACACGAATATACGTGGCAGGAGTGCATTCACGTGCTTGTGATCAGCACGGACATACCATCGAGCATAAAACCGACTCTTTCCCTTGCAACCTGCATCATCTCTTCTCATACCTTGCACTCCAAACATCCACCATCATCTGATCAACTATCACTCTCTTCAAAGCTTCAACTTTCAACCAACAACAATCATCCACCAGCCAAGATGACTCCTAATAGGAAGCGACAGCCGCGTGTGACATTCGATGCGGGTCTGAAACGTGCCTTGATCCACCAACGGAAGACAGTAGCTGAACATCAAGCGACACGCCTCAAGATTGAGGAGGCCAACAAAGCCTGGGACCTTGCGCACCCAAGTGTCAAGAAGTTCAAGCTCAATCACGATACCATCACCGACCAGTCCCAGTCCGATCTTTTCCAACTCCTTCCCGCGGAGATCCGGAATCGGATCCTGATGTACGCCTGCAGAGACACCACCTTGACCTGGACTCGGCGATCTGGTCGAATGGTTGAGGAGAAGCGGACTACCGATCCCTGGAAGCTGAAACGCTATGTATTCGCTTCGGAACGGAAGAAGGAAAAGTTCAAGGAGGCCTTGATCGAGAGGCTCACAACCTGGAAAGTGAACGGCAAACCATCTGCTCCTGGACTGATGTATGTACATCGAGGTATTGAGGGCACTTGACGAGGCCCTGATCCACGCTGACATTTATTCCTTACTCGCAGGCTAGCTTGTAAGCAGATGTATGAAGAAGCAAGCAAGGTCTTTCCCTTCAACGCTCGGCTTGACTTCGATACGAAGCGCACATTTCAGGCTTGGCTTGACAAGACTGGAAAGGGGAGGTTGCTGCTGCATCGCCGGGTGTACGTTGGTGGTGTACGCCAGTCATTTCTTGGTCTGTGCGAGGAGAGGGAGAGGCTTGRCCGGATGAAGGTATGACTGAATGTTCTCCACACTGTGATTGAGTTCGATACTGACAGTAATGCGTAGTACGGGTGGCGGGGCCGTCCCAAAGAGTTCGGCGTTACTCAAACCGAAGATGCTCAAGCTGAAACACTGAAGCTGGAGATGCTGGAACAACAGAAGCTGGAGCGGAAGAGGCGGCGGTTGAAGATGAGGATGCTTCAGTGGGAACCCTGAGTTCCGATGATCTCTCCGTCCAAGGCTCGACCAACCGATAGGCACAGGTCCTGAAAGTCAAGTAGAACTTACTGGAGTGGACGTTAGGCTCCAGGGCATCGAAGATGAATGGCGAGCAGTCTAGGGGCATACTTGTAGCGGTAACGGCAGCATCATCATCTCTCATGGTCTCATCCCGTGCTACGGCGATGATGACTAGAAAAGCGAGTAGCTAGAATCGTGCTTGAAATGAAGATTCGATCTTTGCGGTATGATGTCGTCTCGGTGTCTCTCTGTGATCAGTTCCGGCAGTGTCTTCCGACTGTTCTCCATGCTTGCCCGTCTCCTAGAAGCGCCGTCATGGGGCATCCGACCAAGGTCTTGCACTTACCGATCGAGGATAGAAGCCTGAGCCATTACCACTTGGTCTTCGCAGTCAAGCGACTTTTAGAATGTAAGGAATAGCTGTGTCGCTGCAGCAATAGACCCGGTCCACTCYGGCGATGAGATGGAGTGGATGAAGCACCTCACTAGTCATAGCTTGGTGGGCACCGCTCTAAGCAGGCCCACAATGACCGATCCTGTAGAGAGCGAGGCCTTAAGACATCTTGGAAATGACTGAAGATGCCCTGCCCCGGTGAATAGTCCTCATATCGACAGCTGTTAGAGGTCGGGCGAATGGTCTTTTCTGCGACCTTGCTCAAAAGCAGGCTCCCCGAAAATGTATGCGATACGATATGCCTTCCCCATCAATCCCGAGTCCGGAACTCTTGCAAAGTGCTGGGCGGTTCCCTTCGCCGCTCCATCTCAGTTCTTAAAACGTGAGCTCATTGAATTCAACCCAGCAAGATAGTTTCTCCAATGTCGATCTTGTGCCTCGATCGAGAAGAACCAAGCATATTGCCTTTAATCCTTCCCAAGTATGCGCTTCTCGAAGAACGATCGACCGCYTGACTTCTGCACAAGACCTTAAGAGATCGGCGACAGTATCTGTAGTCTCGAGACTCTGCGGTCTCAAACGTGAGCTCCTTGGGCTCGGTGCAGCAAGATATCATAGTCTCTCCAATCACGGTCTTCCCTTTCGATCGAGAAGAACCAAGCATACTGCCTCCAATCCTTCCATCGTACCCAAGTATGTACGTCTCTTAGAACGCTCAAAGAGTCCTTCGACCGTCTGCGTTCCCGCATAAGGCCTTGAAAAAGACCAGGCATAACGTCCGCAGTCTCGAAACTCTACGGTCTCGGGGCCTCGAATCGTGAACTCGACGGATGCGGTGGCCAAGCAAGATAGTCTCTCCCTCCGCCGATGATTCACTTCTCTCTATAGGATCCCGGCGGAAAAGGATTTGTCGTTGCGCCTCCGTATTGAGACCTTCAAAGCCCTTCAGCAAGCGTTCAGCCAATTGACAAGCAACTCAGCGGTGCTGTTCTCCTTTGTCTTGCAGAGCAGAGCAGAGCACCAGGCAAACGAACAAACCTCCTGTTTTGGCCCATATAACAGCCAGTTGCCAATCCCGTAGAATGAATCGCATCATCATCATCATCTTATACACACAACCAATAATGTAGATCTCCAGCGGGTCCTGTACAAGAGTGACTTGAGGAGTGAAAGCGCCCAATCCGGAAGGATACGCACGGACTCTCCTCCTTGTTTCCCCTCCCCACCCTTTCGATTACACCACCGCGTCTTCAGGTCTTCTTTGTCACCCGACTTCGACAACATTCACAACCTGAACAACACTCTCACACCATGGCGAAGCGCAAGACCAAGCGCGCTCAAGCCGTGGCACCGGTCGTCCCACCTGTCGACCTCTCCTTCGACCAACCTTCGGTCGGACTCCTGTCTCTCTCCGCAGAGGTGCGCAACATGATCTTGGGGTATGCATGCGAAGGCACCGTCATGCAATACCGCCGCAAAGAGAACCTCGCCGGAGCGCAGCGCCGAAAGGGAGTGGGAAAGATGTCGGCGCGCGAGAGTGGCAAGCCCACCGCCCCATTCTTCCTCGCATGCAAACAGATGTACTCGGACTGCATCCAGGTAAGTCCTTACCTATCCTCGAATCATGACCGCGCGTGAACTAACAGATCTCCAGGTGTTCTATGCAACATCCTTCTTCCACTTTCGAACCTTTCGTGGCCTCGAGGGTTGGATCCAGTCCGTACGCATCGACAATCTCGCTCTGGGGGGGAACGTCTTCGTCTGGTCCGAACACGACAACTTCCACGTCCTCCCCGAAGCCTTGATTAGATTCAAGAACGGCGAGAAGGTGTTTGTAAGTCTCGCTTCCCCTTTCGTGCTCTTGAGGAATGTTCAAAGCTAATCGATACACGCAGGGCCAGCAGAACAAGGCCGGGAGCTGGAAGTGGTGGACGGAAAGAAACGCACCAGAGATCCAGGCTCTGACCGCTTGAGCGCTGGATGAGGGCGATTGGGGTTTTGGAGGTGGGGGTCGGAGGGATCTACTTGTGGGGGGCCGCGGCACTCAAGAAAGCATCGAGCGATAACAGTGCTGGTGGACGACCTGAATAGTAGCTGGCGACTGGGCCTTGTGAGGCGCTGTAGCGAGCAAGACAGAGTTCTGGGCAGGGCAGCTTTTCCCGAAAGACATTGAATCCAATCTAAGCGTATGGGTATTCAAATTCATTGCGGAATTGACCCGTCTCAATGAATCACGTCTCAGCTCCGCGTGCTCGTCGTGTACTCAGTATCTGTTGGTCCTGGCGCTCATTGAGAGTTAAACGAAGTGGGCCAGTGGCAGTCTTAAGGCCCTCGAGGATATTCGCGTGCTCGAAAGTCTCAATCCAACTCCATGAATGAAATCTCAGAGCCGTCGGAGGGATTCACATCGCCGTTGAGGCCATAGAAATCCCCAAAAAGTCGCCAGGAAGCCCTGCTACGAGGTCATTCGACGGTCGATTTGAGTCGCATTTCCGAGCGGGGAGGACACCGCGCTTAGCTCAAGTCCAGTAGAGGTCCACAGCATACCAGATCGCACTCATCGTTTGAGTATTACTCAAGGCCTTCCCCGACAAGATCATGGAAGTAGCTATCTGTCTCTGCGAAGACAAGCGGCTCGATTTCGGCGGCCGTCACTCCCAAACTAGGAGCAAGGCGGCATCCTTGACGCTGGCGAGGTATCTAGCAAGTATCCATGGGTGAAGTAATCGTGGGTCTTGGGCGCTTAGGCGTTYCCAAGTGAGCATTCCATCATTCCACAAGTAGGGTCAAAGAAACGTGCCAGCAATTGGCCGCAGCAGTGGGAAAGACAAGCATCAGCCCTGGTCTGCTTTCCTACATCAGGTCCTTCGATCAAGCCGTCCCGTGCGATGGATGGAAAGGACACTTCTCTCAGTGCGTCAGGGTATGACGAGCGCTCGGGGACTGGGTATGGCACCTCCCTGTAGCAGAAGCTAGACCATATGGTCCATCGATCATCGTAAACAGCACAGTCAGTGTCCAGCTCGGTTTGTGGGTGATGCGGTAGTAGTGCCGGCCATCTTTCGATCGCGGATCGTGAACAGAGGGCAGCAAAGCAATCGTACATATTCCCTCGGCAGAAGTGCGTCCTGGAAAGGAGAGACATTGCCAGTTCGTTCGATTGTTTCCGGAGAACTGCTGGCTGTGAAGACCGCACTCTTTCCAGAGTTGACTTGCACGTACTTTCCAGGTCCAGCATCGAGAGAATCTGCTAGCAATGTACGGGTATCCTCTCATGAGATGTGAACTCAATCCGTTCTTCTCTTCTCTCATCCCAACATCATCAATCTCTTCTTCATCAACACTCTCAGCATGCCTCGCAAAGGCAAACGCAAGGCCGACACGCCCACCACTCCAGTCGGACTCCCCGTCAGCCTGACGTACACAACCTCGACAGGTCCATTCCTCAACTCGCTCTCGGCTGAGATAAGGAACACCATCATGGCCCTTGTGTGCGATGAGACCGTCACGCAGTACCGTCGACGCCGGAATTTCAGGCGCAAGAAGAAAGGAGGTGATCCGCCTCGTGATGACGGTCTGCCGAAACCTCCACCATTCTTGCTCGTTTGCAAGCAAATGTACTGCGAGGCCATCCAGGTAAGTCTCCTCCCCCCCCCCAAGGGGCCAATTTGACGCCATGCATGAGTTTTCAGCTTGACAGAAAACAACTTTTCAGGTCTTCTATGCGAGGTCAATCTTTTACTTCCAGACTCAACGTAGTCTGAACCGCTGGATCGCCACCGTCAACATCGAGAAGTTGAAATTGGCGCAGAACGTCTTCGTGTACAGCCAAGGTGCGGACAGCCACGTCCTACTGGAGGCACTCTTGAAGGTGAAGAACGAGGAGAAGGCCAGGAATATTTTCGTAAGTTCCATACTCGGAGTGTATCCTTGAATGGTACCTGAGGCTGATCGGACTTTGCGACGTAGAATACAAGTTGGATGAAGTGGATCAAGTGGCGCTGGTGGAGTTCCCGGCAATTACCAGATATCCCGGCCTCATAACTTCCCCATGATGTGAGCATCTGAGGCGTCCGGTACATGTCGTCGGACAACCTCTCGACTTCCTTGCGCTTCCAGATTCGATGCAAGGTCATGGTGAAGCAGCGAGATGGCAGTCGGAATAGCATAAGCGACGGTGGAGAAGCCATGGAGTCCGCGGTGAGATGGTCTTGCTTTGATGATTCTACCTGGCGAAGCGGCGTTCTCAATTGAGATTCAGCAGCATTTTGTCGGCGTCGTGGGCTCGTGATGATATCGAACCATCTAGGTGACGACTCCTGTGGCTCCAGATGTGCGTAATGAGCTCTGTCTGCGAATCTCTCCAGGCCTGAGGGGAGGTCAAGCGGGCGGTATCGTAGCTTCCGTTCTCCAGTGACGCAGATTGCATTTTGATCGGCGTAGATCGCATCCAAGGACGTCTTTGAGGCGTTGTCAGCCAATGTAGGCATGAAGATGGACAGGCTCTTCATAGGTGGGTTATAAAATGCCTGGTGGGCCATGATTCCAATCCTGGTCAACTCATGGGCAGAGTACTCTAGAGTGTACATCATCAAGCAGAGATAACCCGTACCAAGGCGGAGAGCGAGCTCGCAGTGGCTATAGTAGTGGATGGTGGCGGCTGTCTGGTGAGCATCCTGAAGAAGAGGTCCCGTCTTGTTGATATCCTTCCTCGGAAAGGACTCCAATATCCACCGCAGCTTCCTCATCCGCTGACAGCAGTGCTGCATATCATAAGTTAAGCCGGGCAGCATCCATCGGATCCAAGCAGGCGTGGCAGGTAGACACGATGAACGCTTTGAGCACAAAGGTACACTCCTCGCTCTCTTCCCTAAAATCTGAGTTGTCGTTTAGTGGAAGTGGGAATGTGTTCGCGTTTCTCCCCGCTTCTTGCCTAGTCGACTTCTGCAACGCAAATCAGAGCCAATCCCTGGAGGCTACCTACATTATTGCCTTTCGCACTGCAAGCTGGATGGAGAATGAGACAAGCATGGAGCTTGCAGTATCATCGTCCAGCTTTGAAATCCCTCGAAGCTCAAAGCCTGGATACCTCCAGCGAGCTGAAAACGATCGCAGCACATCCATCCCATGGCATCTTGACAGTCCTCTGCAGCCAAGAAACACACACGGCAACACCACACAATTGAACGAGAAGAAGACAAGGCAGCCAAACGTTTTTGAAAAAGAACATCTTTCAATTGCATCGCTACAAACGAATACATCTCACTCACTTACCGTCTGTCACCAACCCCTCATTGCATCCCTTCGACTCTTCCCAATGCAAAGACTCCTTTCCGTCTGCCTGCCGTGAAGAGCAGGTAGGTTGTTTGTAAAAAGATATGTCCCGCACCTTCAAAGCATCGCATCCCAGGCGAAGGATGAAACTTCTGCGTCGAGCAATGTTCTGTAAGTGCGGTGGTTAGAATATCAATCTTCGCTAGGCGTATAACTGCATGTAGCCATTGAGGTTTAGGCATACTGAGTAGATATCCTAGCGGTGGTGTGCGCTGTTCTTATTCCTCAAGCGAGAACGTCAGTGCTTGATGAAGAACAGGTGTACATGAAAGGGAGTGGAAAAGAAGGATGGGGATGGGGATGTGGATGTTGGGGAAAAGACTTCACGCGCAGAACCTGCGATGGGAAATTGTATGGAGATGGCGCATGAAACCTGCGATACATCTCTAACGAAGATCTTGTCCGTCCGTCCGTCCGTACTTCCCGTGGGAGGGGAGAGGATGGGAGGGACATCGAACAATCTGAGCGCGCAGAACCTGCGATGGCGTCTCACGGCGGTGGCTTGTCATTACGACGGAGCACACCTGCATGACACCCAGAACCTGGGATCACGAGAGAGAAAAAGGAAGTGAAACTTGGCTTTTTGCACTCTCGTATGAGACATTTGAAGTCGGGTTGTGTGTTGGGTGTGTTGGGGGAGATGTGCAGAGGGTATATGCGGCATCATGCTCTTACGTCCTCCGTCACTGTTTCTCCTCCTCCATCATCATGATCATCATGAATATCTCCATCCCGGCCATCCCGACCATGCAAACTTTTGATCATCCATGCATCAATCCAGGATAGCGCATTTAAGCCTTGGTGCGCTTCTTCTCGTTGGCGACACGTCCAGCAGCGATGCGCTCGATGATGTTCTCACGGTCCTTGTCGAGCTTGAGCTTGGTGATTTCGACCTTGGAAGGAGCGATGCCGATGGGGACCGACTGGCCGTTGACCTTTTCGCGGGCGACGCGCTCAATGTGGATGACATATTTGAGACGGTAGACGGATGTGACCTTGCCCTCGCGACCCTTCATGCTGCCACGCTTGATGATGACCTCGTCGTCCTTGCGGATGGGGATCGCGCGAACCTGCATCAAATGTTAGAGGTGATGGATTGATTGATATTGATAGGAGATGCGCATACGTTGTGCTTCTCACGGAGTTCTGCAGGACATGTCAGTCTGTATCTTGTGTTGGTCATGTCCTCAAGATTGGCCTACCCTTGGAGAGAGGAGCGCTCATGATAACACGGCGCACACTGGAAGGCGCGGAGAAGTGAGCCTTGCGGCTCTTTCTCCGGCTGGACGACAGGCTGGTGTTGATCTTCGTCATTTTGTTGGAGGAAGTGACGGGCTGCTGGTGTTAGTAGAGAGGTGGATGGTCGGCGGCGCGAAGAGAAGAAGTAGACCAGGCCAAATTTGCAGCAAATTCAATGTTCTTGCCAAGTCTCGTGTGGAGTCCCGGAACAAGCCGAGACTAGCGTCGCATCGCCCGTCCGGTCCCATGTCGCGGCACGCGATTCTTGGGCTGCATAGATGGTTGTTGATATGATTGTTRATGACCATGATGGGAAGGAAATACTACATCGAGACTGCGTACGGGAGGTGAAGTGTCTTGCCAACATCAGAAKAAGCTTCAAAAATCGTTGCGCTCCAAGGATAACCATGAGCATGAACACCTGCTTCGACCTCACCCAACACACGCATCTCTGATCGCATGCAAGATGGCGCCCTCATACTACAAGAACTTCTACGATCCCGTGGGCAGTCAGGCGAATCAACAACCACCGCAGGGGTATACCTACTCCAACGCCAACGCCAACAACCCACCTTCCTCCACGCCGCAATACCCACAGCAGCCCTCGTACACAACCAGCTACGGCACCAACTCGTACGGCGCTCAATACGGTAGTCAGACGTATGGGACGGCACAATCACAGCCTCAACAACAATCAACAAGCAACTCGTCCCGTGCGGCTTCTGCGTTGAATGCCCTCACTCCCCAGGACTTTTCCACCAGCCGCGCCTCCAATTCCATATCCCAATACAACAACACCCCCACCTCGACCTGGAGTGATTCACAGTCCTACAATACCAGCAACAACAACAATCCCGCCTACAATCAATCCAGCAAAAGTCAGGCCAATCAATCGCCACCCTACCCGACTTCCTCCGCTGCTACGTTTGGCAGATTGAGCTTGCCGGATCAATCCTCTCAAACACAATCTTCCAACACGTTTGGAAACTCGGCCTCAAATGCGAGTACACAATCATATCAGAATGCACCCTCATCGCAATCGGCTGCTTCACAACACCGTCAATACATGACTGCTTACACTCAACAGCAGAACCCTCAACACCAAAATTCTCAACACCAGAATCCACAACAACCACCGGATCGCTACGCGAGTCCTCTGCAGGCCGTGCAAGCTCAGCAGCGTCAGCAAACTCACAACCGTCAGACGTCGAGAAACTCCAACCCTCAACCATCACCTCGGACTGCGGCGCGAAATCTTCAACAGCAGCATCATCAGCAGCAGCAAAATTCACATTCACGTCAGCAGAGCACTTCGGTAGAGCCCTCCCCAACAACAGTCGATCCCTCCCAAGTCTACGATTTCCGCGCCGAGCAAGAAAGAAAAGCACGAATCGACGCGGAGAGACGCAAGAAGATTGACGCGGAAAAGGCGGCGCGAAAGGCAGAGGAAGACGCTCGGCAAAAGGTGTTGGACGACCGCAAAGCTGAAGAGGAAGCGCGCCTGGCTGAGATTGAGCGGGTAGAGTCCGAGCGGGAAAAGGCCGAGGAAGACGCGAGGAAAGCCGAAGAAGAGGCTTGTAAGCAACAACAGGCGAAGGAGAAGAAGAACGAGCAGAGGAGGAAGGCAAGGGAGGAAAAACGGCAAAGCAAGACTGCAGCGACTGCCTTGCAGCAGATGGCTTCTGGTGCGGGGTCTTCCAATTCTGCAAATGATGGACAAGCCGCGAGTATGGCCATGATGGCTGCGATGATGGGCGATCAATCCCAGCCGCCTGCCAATGATGAGGAAGCAGAGATGAGGGCCATGTTTGCAAAGATGCGCGAGTTCAATGCGAAGAATCCCGCTTTGCTTGCAAAGATGTGGGAGGAGGAGAGGACTGCACATGCTACTTCACCTGCGCAGACCACTCCACAGGCTCCTCCTCCAGCTGTTGCAGTCTCCGTTCCTGCAAACACAGCGAAGAGGGGAGCTGGAAAGGCTCAACAAGCAAGACAGCAGTCGAAGCCAATTCCAGCAAATGCCGCTCCAGCCCAGCCTTATCAGCCATTCACTGGAGTTAATAACAACACTCCCCAGAATGGTAGACCACCCGTCCCAGCGAGTGGGAATGCACAGCAAACCGGAGGCAACACTTCACTTTGGCCACCTCATAAGAAGGGTAGTCTGGCAGAGGCTGCTGCCAAATGGCTTGCTGCACGTCCTGAAAATCTCAACACTGGCTTTATCATCACCAGGGAGCAAGTGCTCAAAATCCTCGACACCAATCCTTCCTATGTGCAGCTGTGCGAGATGATTGAAAAGACTGGGGTCAAGTTTGAGCGATCCGCATTGGCAAAGGAGTTGTTGAAAGCAGTGCCCGATGGAATAAGGAGTGCTACTGGAAAGCCTGCAGCATCTCCGGCGAATGGAAGTTCGGCACAGATGAATGCTGCGGCGGGTCCGACGAAGAGAGGAGCCAAGAATCACTATTCCATCCCCAACCAAGGGAGACCGACAAGTAATGGGACTGTTTCCTATCAGTCACCCTCCTTCTCCTCTCTGACTGACGCCGCTCGTGCGATCAATGGCATGCCCACAGCTCCTACATATCCCACCAACTCTCTCGCTTCTGCGTTGAATGGAGGGGCCGTTCAATCCCCCAACAATGAGATGCTACCATTTGATCAGCAACCCATCCATATTGAGGATGACTCCACACCAATTCCTGTTGACATCAAACCTGAGGAGCCGCGACGACCTCCAGCAGACAAGGAGGAAGCGGCTCGGAAGCGAACGTTTGGTGACCTTGTCGATCTCACCGGTGGAGATGATTCTGATGATGAAGGACCTCCAAGAAAGGTATTCCAGACTGAACGACCAGCACCAATCCCGCTTCCCAATGCCGTCTTCAACCCTCTTCAACGAGCTCAGCAGATTGTTCAGCAAAACTTTGGCACGCAACATATTGGCCAGCCCGGACCATACAATCCATCCATGCGGCAGAATGGATATTCCAGACCACCCCCGCTTCCCTCGTCAACTACACCTTCTGCTGCTCCTCCACCTCCTCCCCATCAAGTGTTAAAGTCTAGAGGGCCTTCTCAGGAGCAGCTTCAAATGGAGCGTGTGCGGGGGAAGATGTTGGTCGAGCCGATTATGRGAGATCGTGTGGCACGAAAGTCCAAGTACGATGTCCGCACGATTGCAAGAGATGTTCTCCTTGCGACGGGCCGTCACCCTGACATGCGACCTCTCAACGCACATCTCAACAGCATGCAGAAATTGTTGGGAGATCACGGCGGTGTTGTAGATGGGGCAGGAAACAAGAGTGATCTCTCTACAATTAAGTGGTCATTCATCGATCCTGGTGAGCCAGCTGCCGTAGCCAAGGCGAAGAGTGAGGCCGCCAAGAAGCGTATTGAAGACTCGGATGCGACGGAGGATGCCGATGATGAGGGTGAGCAGCCTACAAGAGGTCTCACTGCAGTCACAACTATCAGATCGGAGAGATCAGACCAGCCCAACGCAGCTCAAATGCGTGGCGTGGCACCGAATGCGAACTTTCCAGTCGAGAAGAAGAAGCGGGGCCGTCCCAAGGGTTTCCGGCCGGCTTTTAGCAAAAAAGCGGCCGCTCAGTCAGCGTCACCTCTCAACGCGACTTCCACCAACCACGACACGACTTCACCGACGCGCTCGACCCATCACCGCCGCACCGATTCGACCTCGACTCCCGCACGTGCACGTACATCACCTGCTAATAAGAACGGCTCGCCGAACATCATGTCGTCGGGTGGAGCGGTGGGCTATGCCGCCTTTCGCGAAGTCGACGCCAATGGGAATGTGATTAAGAAAAAGGGCCGACCGGTGGGATGGAGAAAGAATGTGCATTCACGAGAAGCTCAAGGTCTCACGCCTGCGAAAGCGGGAGCGAAACCTTTGGGTAGTAAACTCCGCCAGTCGACGACCGCGGCCTCCAAAAAGGAAGCGGAACCGCAGAGACGGGAGTATGCCGTGTACAAGTGTGAGTGGAAGGGATGCAAAGCCGAGCTGGACGGTTTGGAGAGGTTGAAGAAGCACATTCTCAAACTCCACGGCACGGCGAATGAAGGAGGGGATTACGAGTGTTGGTGGGCCGGGTGTAAGAATGCCGGCAAGCACGTCGATGGTAAGGGAAGAGTGAGGGATGGAGAGGATGGGGCAGTGGGGACCTTTGAGGATATTGAGCGGTGGTTGGCACATGTAGAAACGGTGCATTTGGAGGCCGTGGGGTGGAAGTTGGGAGATGGCATGAGAGGTGAAGGTGAGTCTGGTGGTGAGGATTGAGCGTGCTGCTGTGCTTTATCTTGCTGTGATTTGTGTGCGTCCTTGAGAGTGAGATGCTGATGCTTCGCGTTGAGCGAGCGTGTACATTGCTTGTCCATACCACACCAACAACAACCACAACCTCTTGCCATGATCCATTTCCTTGCTTCACATGACATGCCATGGAACCCACCWGCTAACATTCTCTCCTCTCCCCAACCATAGCCTACGAAACRGATTCATCCCTCTACCTCTCCGACTCAGCCGGTCGTCTCCTCACCCCCATCATTCAACCCGCTACGATCCCCTCCCGTCCAGATCAACACCATCAACRACATCCACAACCAGACGACGACGAAGAAGAAGTCTCTCCAGCGAAGAAATTCGATCCATACGGTATTTCGCCTCTGGGGAGGAGTAAAGAGGAATTGGACGCGGGCGAGGAATTGGCGAAACTTAGGAGGAAGATCTTGGAGGAGGGCGGGTTGTTAAGTCAGGAAGGGAGTAAGCTTTGTAATGCCAAGAGGCGGAGGGGGTTTTTAGATGATGAGGAGTTTTGGGATATTGTTGAGGAGGACTCGGATTAGTGGGAGGGAAGGGATTTGAGTGGATGATGGAGGAGGCGGGGGGTATGGAGATTGAGGGGAGTGGTGAGGAGGAAGTGATTTGGAGGAAGTGATTTGGAGGCGTGTGGTTGAGGAGGTAGTTGAGGGTGTGACTGAGTTCCTTGAGGGATGGAAAGGGTGTGGGAGTACGGGGATTATTGTGCTACTTCTGCTGCTGCTGCTGGAATGAGTTTACCTGGGGTGTGGATATGGATATGGGTATGGTTTGTCTTTTCTTGAGATGGGTACGGCGTGTTGAGGAGAGGAGTAGAGAGGAAGACGTGGTATCTCAAGCGACTTTATGAATGCCTTTTCTTTCCATCGACGCGAGCTCGGGGGTGTCTTAAGGAATGTACCTATTTATTCTCTTTGAAGAACGCCGATGTAGAATCTACGCCGCGAACTTTTGTTAACTGATAAGGTATTCTCATCCTACCTAGAGGGAACGATGGTCATATGGAAAGAGGAAGGAACGGAGAGAATTGGGAGGGAAGTAAGGTACTACCCAAACCCTAACCCTATGACCATCCATCGTCAGCAGTAGACTTTACTAGGGAGGGATACAACGATATGTCTTCAGGTTTTTGGATTGGATTGGAGATGAAAGAGATAAGATAGGTAGGTAGGTAGGTAGATGGATGGGGGAATTCAGGTTCCGCGTTCCTTTCTCTGTAGCCGTACAAAAGGGCATCTTCAGTATTACATGTTATTTTGTGGTGGTGGTGGTGGTGGTACATGCTTGCTTCATTTCTTTCTCTCTCTCCCTGTCCTCCCTGGATGCCCTCGCATTTCAACATCTCCATTGGTGGTATTGGTTGTTTGCAAGCTGTGATATCACTCGCTGATGCTCGCGGTTGGAGGTATCATTCTGCTTCTGATGTTGATCCTGGCTCAAGCAGCTTATCATGTAGACTGAACCCGTCAAGATGCCAGGTATATGACCCACCAGCCTCTCTCCCTCCACAATCCACCCACATCCATCTCATGCTCCCCTTGCAATCATCTCATCATCTCATCTCATCCCCTCCCCTCATTGCGCAACACCCAATCCTCCAGCTCTGACCCCTACAAACTCCTTGTCGCCCACTTTGACCACATTCCCCTTATTACCCGATGGTTTGATCATTTCCTCGACGGGAGTGGTGGATTTGGCATGTGCTTCATCCGAGTTGATTTCGAGGAAATGATAGAGGACGATGAGCAGGACGGCGACGGAACCGCAGAAGACAGCTAGGGTGTAAAGTTGTTCGTCGGTGATCATTTTGGGGGATTATGTTGTTGTGTTGTGGTGGTGGTGGTGGTGGTGGTTGTCTTGTCGTTGGTTATGGCATTGGAGATGTGTAGCTATCTATAGCTGTAACAGGACAGCTTACGTAGATGCCCTTGGATGCGACGTCGACATGCCAAGCCCTCAGTGGCCGGCCGGTGACGCGGGAAGAATCATCAATTCGCCGTCACCACCTGAAGTTCACTAACTGTTCAGCTTCTTTCACGCATTTTCGCCCTCCAATCCTCCCTCACTCTCCACCCGCTGCAACCGCATCGATCACATGGAGAGTTTTCCTTCGCCTGCTTTGTGAGAGAATAGCCCCGCGACCAAGCACACGACATCCACCGTCAACCGTCAAACCCCCACCAAAGTCCYCCAAAATGCCTCCCAAAAAGGTGCAGAATGAGCCCAAAAAGGCCAAGCCCAGCGTCGCCGACAAGACGTTTGGCATGAAGAATAAAAAGGTGAGAAATGTCGTCGAGATGGGAGGATTTTAGCTTGGATCGCATACTGACAACATTCGCAGGGAGGTTCGTTTTGACATGCTCTTCACCCAATCAATCAATCAATTCGCCAATCAATATTGACATTCACAGGTGCCGCGCAAAAACAGATCCAACAAATCGCCGCCTCGACCGCATCGGCCAAAGGTCCCGAAGCCAAACGCAAGGAAGCGGAGAAGTTGGCGCGAGAAAAGGAAAAGGCGGCGGCGGAACAGGCGGCAAGGGAAACGGCCGAACTCTTCAAACCCGTGCAGGTGCAAAAGGTGCCGTTTGGAGTCGACCCCAAGACCATCCTCTGTCAATTCTACAAAAAAGGGCATTGTGACAAGGGAAGGAAGTGTAAATTCTCACACGACCTCAACGTCGAGCGGAAGCAGGAAAAGAAGAATCTCTACACCGACACGCGCGAGGATGAGGATGAAGAGGAGGAGAAGCGGAAAAAGGAAGGTGGCATGGAGGATTGGGACGAGGAGAAACTCCGCCAGGTCGTCATGTCCAAGCATGGAAACCCCAAGACCACCACCGACAAGGTCTGCAAATTCTTCATCGAAGCCGTGGAGAATGGTAAGTACGGTTGGTTCTGGATCTGTCCGAATGGCGGCGACAAATGCATGTACAAGCACTCCCTTCCCCCAGGTTTCGTCCTCAAGACCAAAGAGCAGCGTGCCGCGGAGAAGGCGCTGATGGACAAATCCCCGCTGGCAACCCTCACTTTGGAGGACTTTTTGGAAAGCGAACGGCATAAGCTGACGGGTACTCTCACTCCCGTCACTCCCGAGACCTTTGCCAAATGGAAGAAGGAGCGGTTGGATAAGAAGGCCGCCGAAGCCCAGGCCCAGGCTATGAAGGAGGCTACGGGTAGGGCGCTGTTTGAAAAGGGCGACTGGAAGGATGATTCTGATGATGAGAGTGGTGATGACGAGGACGATGATTTGCAACGATTGCGTGCGCAGACGGAGCGGGAGAGAGAGGAGAAGGAGTTGGAGAGGATTGGGGCGTTGGGTTGAGGAGGCGCTTCTCATCTTATATCCATGTCCTGGAGGAGGTCTTACGTGGTGGAGGAGATCTTGTTTGGTGGAGCGGAGAGGTGGGGAGGGAGTGAAGGGGAGCATGGCGTCTGGAGTGGGGGTGGCGAAGGGAGAGTCGGAAACTGCTGCGGCATGCCGACGTCGAGACGTGCGTGAGATGTTCCTCGGCGGTGATGGCGATGAAGATGAAGATGAAGATTGAAGATGAAGGCTGCATGCAAATGAAAATGATGTGCACGTCATCATCATCATGAGAGAGAGGGAGACGGCCGAAAAAATGCCTATGCCGCGACTATTTCATCGAGCAGAGCAGAGCAGAGCGGATGGATGGACAATGCAAGGCATTGCATTGCATGGAATGTTGTGCTTATGATATGATCTCAGAGGAAATCGAGAACCCTCATCCATCTATCCATCCATCTATCCGTTCATCTATCCGTTCATCTATGAATCCATCTACGAGACTTTGCATTTTCACTAAGAATGATGCTCGGCGGAGTGGGAGATGTGATGTCCATAATGTCTCCTTAGGACAGTCCCCCTGCCTCCTCGCTGACCTTCTGGCTGAAATTCTCGCTGATAGGGGAGAGCTATGCTGAGGGTTGTTGTTGCGAAGAAGTAAAAGAGGAAGAATAAGAAGAAGAAGAGTGTTGTTTTCGTTGTTGTTGTTGTTGTTGTTGTTGTTCGGGAGGGAGGCATGTTGTTTGGAGGGTTTAGGTAATTGTGGTTCGTGAGTTGGGTTGGTGAGTTGGGTTCGATCGGTGGGTTCGATCGGTGGGATGGGTTGGTGAGTTGATGTGTTGATGTGTTGATGGGTTCGATCGGTGATCTGTGTTGATTGAGTTGAATGTGGGTTTCCCGTCGTGGGGATCGAGAAAAAGATGTCTTGGTTGATTGTTGATTGAGGAGGTGTGTTGATTTGTTGGTTTTGTTGATTGAGTAGACTGGGTGAGTGTGGGCTTTCGTCGATGATGAAGCCTTGCCTTTAGGTTGTCGTATGAAGAGATGGAGAGAGAGGTCAGATGAAGACGGGTTTCGGCCGTGGATGCTTTGCTTTACTATGGTGTCGGTAGAAGCTTTCAATAAAACCGAATGAACAATCTCAAATCAACCGACAAGCATAGAAACCTACCTCTCCTCAACAATAATCTCCTTCTCACTGTTTCTAGATCGTCGTCTCTAGATCGTTGACGATGAGAGGGAGGAGAGTGTAATACCCGTGCCAAGCCTCCCCGTCCTATTGTCTAATTACCAAAAGCTCAGGCATAGATGGTTCTTAGCTCGTCACGACACAAACTATCTATACCTTCAACTCTAACTCTAACTTAAGCATAAACAAATCCGGTCGAACGAATAAGATGTCTTCCTTTCTTGACGAATACCGATGATGATCGATGGAAGTCTTACCTATCGCTGTGTTTGATCGTTACAACGACATGTCATCTTGCTAGATCTGTCAGATTAGAAGAATCGATAGCTTGCTTAGACCGATCCAGATTTAACGCATCCCCATACCTGAAGGATCTGCATGCTGTCGAAGCCGAAGATGGCATTGGCGTACGTAGTAGATCTACACGTCGCCGGAATGTTCCTCTTACTTGCTTTGAGATGTTCAGAGATGGTAGGCTTTGGTGGTTTGCATGCGACTCTAAGAGATCTTTAGGCCGGGCTCGCTGATCTGATAGATGGAGGTGAGTGTGGTGCTGGATGATACTAGGGTCCCGGGAGAGTGCGGAGTTTACTTGAGCTCTGGTCGGCTGGATTTGGTGAAGTTGACTTTGTGCCTGCCATACCGGTAGAGATATATCTGCCATGGCGGTGAAGACTCTGGAAGTGCTGATGTCTTGATCGTGGCGAGGTCAGATTTGAGGTGAAGGTACAGTCGGCGTAGAGGGTTAAGGAATTGTCGCTCGTGATTGTGTTGTAGAGAGTGTTGRGTATGAAGTGAGTAGAAGGAAGATGGTGAAGGTAAAAGTGCAGTCGTTTACAGACGTGGTGGCTAGAGAGGCACGAGACTTTACTACCGATCTTTGGATGTGAGAAGAGAGAGTRAGAGAGACCGGCACTGATCTCTTGCTTTACAATTCAGGGTTCACTCACTGCACGACATATATGCACAGCTATCATCTTTGCAGCTCTGAGAGAATGTGTAGATGGGTCATCAATGACTGCGAGTGAACGGGCGAGGTAAGGCTTCGAAGTTGGCTGATTATCATTATTACTGTTACTTCTTGCAGAACTGTCGATATAAGGATCATTCATCGGGACAAAGGCATCCTTAGTCATCTCCATTATGTCCTAGGACCTCGCTCTCTACCGGGTCGACAGTTCTAGGCTTGTTAGGATCCCTACTAGTAGCGGCGTGGCAGTTATTCAATGGAGATAGCAGTTCAGGACGCGGCTCTTGTGAACGAGTTCTCAAATCAACAGCTCTGGAGTTTGATACCCTGACAACGAATGCTACGATTAAACCACACAGACCTCCAACACCAAAGCTTAAAAAGTTCCCCAATCAATCTCCCATTCCACTCATCACCCATCCCATCCCTCAAAAATCACCCATCTAATCCCCTTCCTCCGCCAAAGGAACAATGCTATCCCTCTCCCCCTCAACCGGCCCCATAACCATCCAAATAGAACTGACCTTATAAAGCGGCACCTCAACCCCAAGCCCCGTCTCCCCCTCAATAAAATCTTTCCACTTCTGCACCGCATCCGGTGCCATACTCCGATCATGCAACAATTCGAGTCTCGTGACCAATCTTTGCAAATCAAAAGGTATGATTTTGGCCCAGACTTTCAAATCCGAGGGGAAAGCGAATTGGAATTTCGCCATGGCGTAGAGGAGTTGGTGGGATTCCGTGTATGTTTTCTTACATGTCAGTAAGTAGGCTGGCGCGCGGGGTTTCTTCTGGTTGGAGTTGGGTGGGGGATTTCCTTCTGGGAGGCGTGCGCGGGAGTCTGTTGGGTTGAACAAGCGAGAGGGATGATTGTAGAGGAGGGTTGTGGATTCGCAGATGAGGATCGTGATGCGGTTTCTGATCTCCGGAGGGAGGTTGTGGAAGGGGGATTGTGATTGGAAGTTCATTTTGTCGAGGTTCAGTGGTTGTGATGTTGGAGTTGGTTGCGCGGCTTCCTTCTCTTCGGCGGTGGTGATGCTGCAGGCGGACGACATCGTGTTTTTTTTGGAATATGTGTTTGATTCTCGGTAGAGATGGAGAGAGAGAGGTTGGGAGAAGTTCCACTTTTAAATGATGATTCGGGAAGTGTCCTCAAAAAAGATGTCCTCAATTCGGGAGGAGGCGGAAGCATATTCACTTGAGAGATATGTTAGCGCGCGAAGCTCAAATCTGAGAACACGGCACTCAATAAGCCTTACCAAAAGCATGGTTGTGAGGTGATTGAGGTCATGGAGTAGATTCTCATGGTGGAAGGAAACAATAATCGATTCCTCGAGGCTCCATCCTGCCTCCTTCTCAGGCGCTCCTCCGAAATTAGAGTGTGACGTGTGTGTGACTTCCGAACTTGTAACACTACTCTAGTATAGTAAGGTGCGGTCTCTTGGTTTTCTGCGCTTACGCGAGGTTGGTATCCGAGCAAAGTAGCGGGAGGAGAAGGAGACAGGCTCCATCCGCAGCTTCCAAATTTTGACAACCCCATTTCCTTCATGGCTCTTCCATGCTCGAAGAAATGGCTTCAGTCTTCAAAGATTATTCTGACCTTCTCGAGCCTTTGTGACCGCCATCACAGACTAATTGGTTTCCCGTCCGAGTCCCGGCCACGCACGCTTCCTCAACCTTGCATCCTCAAATCACCATGTAGCCCTCCAAACCAGTCCAACCGCTCATTAGTGTACTATTCCCATAWCAGTAACACACCTTCAGACGAGAAGAAGCAACAAACGTAATTTCCATCACCACCCAGAACCCCATCATAACTCAACATCGCACAACCCCGACATCCTCAAACCCCGAAAAAAACCCCTCGAGCTTCCCGCCATCGAATTTGATCTTCTGCAGAATCTCCAACTTGGTMACCAGACCACTCCAATCCAAGCATAATCTTGAGACTTGGATTCCCTGTGATAATATCTGGTCAAGAATCGGGATGGCTGTTGTTAGTGTGGGCTTTGGAGGAGGTTATAGAGGAGTATGTTGGACTATCGATGTTGTCGTGATAAAGGTGGGAATGCAAGGTGGTCAGTTGAAGGAAGCGTAGCATGTGAAGGTMGGTCTGGATACGGGTTCGTAACTGATACAATGCTGTGGATGCAGACTCGCGAATGATGTGACCCGTGTGACAAGATCTTGGCCAACATACATGTAGTCAGCAGATTTGTTACCTTCTGATCAGAGGCGAGAGAACATCCCGCGTAGCTCCACCTACAAGAATATTCCAACACTGCAAGACTCTCATCAAGGTACTCAGCGAAAACACTTAACAAAGCCCTCCCATCACAACAAACCATCGCCACGCCGTAAATCGCCCTACCCCAACCCTAACCCCAACTCTCCAGCATGCATGTATGCAGAGCCGGAACAAGCCAACCATTTCCACGCGACATCACTGCACGACTGCACGACTGCACGACTGCTCAAGTGGAGCCGATGGTGGACAACACGATCCCGACTCCACTCTAATATTAATGTACCTCGACTGGGACTGTCATCATATTCCTACACTGTTAAAGCTGAGCAATCGATCGATTGAACGAGAATCCCAGGAAGATATCACAGCTCCCACATAAAGAACAACAACAACAACAAGCAGCCGTGAAAAAGTTCACAAAAACTTCCTTCTTTCATCTAGTTGGGTATCAACATCTAAAAATCTATCTATCTCATAGGTCGTCGTCATAATCATAACGTTTTCTTCTCTCCAAAATCAAGTCCGACTCGCAACACTCTCCCTCTCCGAATCCGAAATCTTCTCCCTCTCTCCAGCTCTCCTCTCCCTCGAAGTCTCCCCATCAGCCTTCTCGCCCGCACGACTCTCATCATCCGAAGCAGCGGCTCGGTATTCCATCGTCATGGCTTTGACTTCCGCCTCGGTCATGCGTGGGAGCTGTTGAGCGGCTTTGACGTAGCTGATACTTTCCGTGTGGCCTTTGGCGAAGATGAGGTCGATTTCTTCGAGTGTGCGCTGGGATGTTTCGGGGTCTGTGGGAGGGGGGGTTGTTAGTGGTTGGTTGATTTGATGGGATGTGGGAGGGCTTACAGAGGAAGTAGATGATGGGGAAGAAGCTAGCGTTGAGCACTGCGAAGAACAGATATGTTCCCCAGCTGATTTTTTCAATCAGAACCGGGGTGATCTGGGATGGGTTAGCATCATCATTCCATTGCACGCCTCCAAATCTTCAACATACCATGACGATGAAGAAGTTCCATAGCCAGTTGTTGACGGTAGAGAGGGCGTTCGCCTTGGCTCTAGTCTTGAGCGGGTTGATCTCAGCGGGGTACAACCAAGGTAGAGGCAGCCAGGTTGCGCCGAAGAATGCGATATAAGTGAATAGACCGACCGCGGCACCCTTGGCTGCGGACTCGGTACCTGGGATAAGAGCGCCGAAAACGAGAACCATGGACAAGCATTGTCCGACGGTACCAATCAGGAAGAGCTTGCGACGACCAAGTCTCTCGACGGCGAAGAAAGAARTTGTGGCGAAGATTGCGTAGATGATCATGTTGACACCTCCAAGGAGGAGAGCAAGGTTGGGACTTGTGCCGATGGATTCCTGAAGATAGTCAGTATGGATGTTGGAAATACATCAGGAGTGGTACGACGCACCGTGAAGAGAAGGGGAAAGAAGTAGATGACGGCGTTGCATCCACCCAACTGCTGCATGACCTGAGAAGATGCACCGAGAAGCATACGGCGGAGGTTTTGGGTTGGTCCATTCGTGAGAAGCGCCGAGAAAGGAGTGACACCGTCCAGGTTTCCAGACGCCTTAATACCATCGGTGATCATACCCAACTGCACTTGTACGACTTCGCTAGAGCGAGGCTGTCCTTCCAGAGCCGCGACCACAGTAGCAGCATCATCGTGTCTGTGCTTGGTGAGGAGCCATCGCGGGCTCTCGGGAAGTCTCAAAGTCAGAATGATGACGATGATAGCGAACAAGCATTGGAAAGCAATGGGGAAACGCCAGACAAACTCATGAGGTCCGTGAATGGCACCAAAGTCAATCCAGTACGCAATCATCGAGCCAATTGCAACACATCCACCTTCCATGCAGATGACTCTGCCACGGTTGTGCGGTTTACTGCATTCTGCTTGGTAGGTGGGAACTGTGGATGTGTTGATTCCGTTACCGATACCGGTAATGCATCGTCCGACAATAAACTGCGCTGTAGCTCCGGATCCAACGGGGCCGACGGTACAGATCTGAATAACCACGCCGATAATCATGGTGGAAGCTCCGAGGAACATGGAGTTTCGACGTCCGAGTTGATCACCAAAGGAGAGGATGAAACAAGCACCGAGCAAGCAGCCCACGGCGAAAATAGACACCACGAAGCCTTCGTATTCCCCTGTTGGAAAAAGTTAGCGGTTGTAGACCTGCCGACTATGACGATCTTCCATACTGTTGCCCTTGACCTCTGGAAAGTCATGTGTGAATGCGTCTGATTGGATAATTCCAGCCATGACACCCTGATCGTATCCAAAGAGGAGGAAATCGGTAACGGCAACGGCAGAGATCATCATCTGGAGACGTCTCCCTGATGTCCCCCAGTAGGTGGGAACCCCTTCGGCAGTCTCGGAGACCTTCATGTTGGCTGGTGTAGTCGGGGTTCGCAGGACAAGACTGCAGCGGAAAGTACAGATGACTCGAGGAAGGGCAGCATCCTGCCATACGACATCTTATAAACGAATGGGCACATCACACGGTTTCAAACCCCCGATAAAGAGATCCACATGAATCCTTGGGCGTGGAGCCGCCGAGAGCAGTTTCGTTTGCAGAGATTGAAAGTTGAAGAGCGTATCGACGTCCATCGGGATTTGACGACGTCATAGCCATGTTGTCGTCGACGGGCAAGTGGAGACTATTGTTGGGGTTTCCTATGGGGAGGCCGGAGTGTGTGGTGAAGTGGAGTGTCGGCCATACTCTCGGCCGCTTCCACCAGAAATACCAAGACCCCGGGCCAAGGCCGGTCCGACAAAAGTGGAGTGCTTCGAACGGTAGAAGGATTTGCTTGACTTGGTGGCTGATTCTTATTGTTGCCGAGTTTTTTGTAGTGTCCCATACGAGCTTGGTGTGATGTCACCGTGCTGAAGTGCTATGTCATGGTTTTGGCATGTGATGGTGGGTCTTGTGCGTAGTGTGAGTGCGTGCAATCTTTGCAAAAAGTGGATCATATTCCGGGATGGATGTTACGCCATGCGTGGTTGGAATCGGCGCATGCTGTATCCATACCTGTATCCAGTGGAAGAGTGTCTCGAGCCTCTGCCAGGCTCATGGAAATCCAGAACGCCCATGAGCTCCACTGCGAATCCCATGGGGAAGATCTGGCACGTGGCATTTCGGCAGCAAGATGAGTGTCGAATGGCGGTATTGGGGACTTGAGGATCCACCCGAATCTTCACAGGTCAGCCAAGAGAATACCTCCCAGAGTCCGTCAATTGACTTGGCAAGCTCACAAAGCCGGCTCAACGACTGGCATGCTTCGACCGCTGTCCTCCCAAGTCATACTACTCTTCTCGTATTGCCGCTTTCGTGGGAACAGATGAGGAACGGCCTGCATGAGTCTCCCATCTTTGAGCGCGGACAAGCTCAAGTACATATCCTCAATCGCACCTTCATCGTCCATCCTGGTAGCGCAAGGCTCAAATCCCAACAACGACCAATGGCTCGCAAGTTGTTCCATGACAGTCTTTGATAGAATCCCTCCAGCCTCTTCTGACGCACGGGCTCTCAACACCGCGACGTCATGATTCGGCTCAACGTGAGAACGGAGGAGACCTTCAATCGCCAGCAAGCCGATCCCATTCCCACGCCATGATTTGTCAAGCCGGACCGAGTGTATTAGACAGATGCTGCCACTCCCAATGTCAAACTCCTCAGAGTTTGCTACCCGCCATCCTGCGTAATTATCGTAAAGGGCCTCGTACATGTGCAATACCTGCGGTGAGTGATCGCTACWTATCTCGCTTGAGGCAACAGTTAGCGATTGCTCTACAGACAAAGAGCTCGACTATACCCACGAGAGAGACAGCCCAGCATCCCGAATGCGTTTGATCTGAACAATGTCAAGCTCAAGTTGACCAACTTCCTTTACGATGAACGTAGGTCGGCCTTGCTCTGCGATGATGCTCCCTCGAATCGTTTGAACATATTCATTCAGTTCATCCCGTGCACCTAGGGCCTTTGTTGTCTGCGTCTCAAGTGTGAAGGTCCACGTCCCTTTTGGCAACGCCTTCTTCGGCTCATATACWCGCGTTGGTGTAGAGGCGGATTGCTTGTCGAGCTTGACTTTGATCCATGGCATGTCTGTCGGATTCAACGTTCTATAGTGCTTCACAGGTAACCGTCATGATACTGCAGAGCGACATGATTCACACGCCAGGAGAAGTTGTTCATCCAGGCAGAGGAGGAAAGCAGCACTTCGCTCTCCACCCCGGAGATTGAACTCCCAGGGAAGACCCTTGAAACGATCGCCGCACCCATGTTCGGAGGCCCTACCCCGAGCTCGATCGGAAATTTGCGTCAGAGTTGCATTGACCCAGGGTCTGGTATGAGTAGTTGCAGTAAGTTAGTTCAAGGAGAGACCGTTGGAGGTTCAAAAGTCCAGTCTCTTGCTCACTGTGAGGCAGCGCTCAAACGTGTCCTGCATTCCTGTTAATCAATACTTTGTCGCATGGAGTGAAGGCTCCATCTCAGCAACAAAGACGCCCATTTCCGGGGCTATGGAAGCGATGTCACCACATATCAAGGGAGGGTTCGTCGACCATGAAGCTCTCAGCCTCGGACCTCTGATCAAGCCGTATTGGAGCATCATCTTGCATACAGTGAGTGCGGATGTTGCGTTGAACAAAATCTCATATGTATTGACGATGCTCCTTGCGATCGGTTGATGCATTGTCATTGTCATTGTCATTGTCATTGTCGTGGTCGTGGTTGCTGTTCAAGATCTCGTGGATGTCGTCACGAGCAGATTTGTCAGCAACAAATCTAAACCGGGAACATCGTCGCATACCTTACTCTCACCAACAACCACTCCCACGTGTAAAGTACCGTACGTACATGAATGACACCTCGCCGCACCCTCCCGTTACCAGTCAGCGGGAGGCATGCTCTTGATCTGAGCGAACGATTCCCTCCAGTCCACCACGCTCCGGCATCTTCCCATAGATCCCGCCATCCCGGCCGTACAACCCTTTTTGAGACTTATCCTCGCAAGACCAACAACGGGGCGGGCTGCGACCAACGGGGACATGCAGAGCCGAACACATCTAGGGGGATATAGCGGTTGGCAACAAGAGTGAGATTGCGGCGATAAGCTCTCCATGGAGACATTGCGGAGTTCGCAGAGGACGCACCTCAAAGCAGACACCACTACTGCACAACAACGACCACTGCACGAAAACGCGGCGATGGGTCTTTTCAGTCGTCAGCAACTCCCGCGCTTCCATTCATGCTACAGTGGCAGATACAATGGACTAATTCGCACCCGGTGAGTCTACAAGCGGCTTGACACCGCGTGGCTTCCCTTTACTGTCTATGTGTATGGCAACATCAGTGTTGTGCGAGCTGCAGCATCATGTTCATACTTTCTCCGACATCCGCTCGGTACCTTTTGCCGTTCTTGCTTTCTGCCACTCCTTCCCTTCCGCTTTCAGCTTCTCGTCGTCCGGCCGATTGAGCTCAATATGTGGCATGAGGAAGAAGCACAAGACGAACGCAAACGCCGCCAACGAAGCGCTGACTAAGAAGATGATTCGGAATCCTCGCCGGTACGCTGGGAGGATGGCTGCTCGGACCCGATCCGCTTCCTCGCCAGTTCTTTCGTTAACGAACTTTCGTGGCGAGCTCAGTATCATGCGTGTCTCGTCATCGCTGTATTGAAGATCTCCCACGGCCACTCGAAGCACGTTATTGATGACAAGTCCAGCAACAGCCAGACCAATGGTCCCTCCGAAGTTACGAGTGAAGTTGCGGAAAGACGTAACTACCGCCATATCCTTGCGATCTACACCAGCTTGAACAGCCACCAGTGCTGGCTGAAGTGTGTTGCCGCAGCCAATACCTGTCAGGATGGCATATCCAATTTGCTTGCCCAGCCCGGAATCTTCGTCAAGTGTGGAGTAAAGGCCCAGACCGATCGCCCAGCAGGCCCAGCCGAACAGGATACACTCTCGATAGCGGMCCGTCCAGTGTACAATCAATCCCGACAACGTGCTTGTGGCGGCTGCGACGAGTCAGCGACAATAAACTGCGGAAGTGCTCGTCACGACCCACTTTGCATCAGCGTGATGGGCAGCAGTAGAGTTGCTGACTTGACGGCCGAATAACCATACACCAACTGATAGAACGATGGGATGTAATAGACCTGCACGAGAAAGTTCCATCCATTAATGGCCATGGTAAGACAAGCTCCATTAACCATTCGAATCTTGAAAACATGCACTGTCTGCGTGTCAGTGCTTTGCAGACTGTCTTGCAATTTGGAAGACTCACACGGCACTAACGGATACTTCGGGCCTTTCCACTGCCACAGCACAAATCCTATTGCGACCGCACCACCAATGACCAGAGGAGCTATCACTGCCGGAGAACTCCAAGCGTATTGCGCTCCAGCCCAAGTCAGTCCGAGAATCAGCAGAGTTGTAGCACCGAGGGCTAGAAGTACCCCGAAAAAGTCGATCGCTTTGAGCTTCAGCCTCCAGTCTCCCTCCACTTTCTTCAGAGGCATTAAAAAGACTGCACAGAGCGTGGTCAGGAAAGTTAACGGCAGGTTCAGCCTGAAGATCCATCTCCACGAGTCTCTCGACTGGGAAGCCAATGCTCCTCCGATGACGGGTCCGATTCCATGTGCGATAGCGACCACAGAACCAAGAATACCTTGATACTTCCCTCTTTCCCTCAGCGGAACAACATCACTGACAATGAGCTGAGCAACCGTCATGATTCCACCTCCAGCAATACCAGTCAAAGCTCGAAACACGATCAATTGAATCGCCGTCTGCGAAACGGCCGCGCCAAGAGATCCCACGAAGAAGATTGCCATGCCGATGAGAAGGATGACCTTCCGAGACCAGATGTCCGAGAGTCTACCATAAAGAAGTTGAAAGCATGTTGAGGTCCTGCTCACGTTGTCAGCGGCTCTGGGGTCAGCCACGAATGTGGGTTAAGCGTACAAGAAATATGAGCCTGCAATCCACGCTTGCTCATCTCCAGCGTCAAGAGCGTTCGAGACGATTGTCAAACTCGCTGCCAAGGTCGTTTGGTCCATCAACACGACTGGAGATCGTCATCAGTCAGACCTCAACCATTCCTGGACAAGCTGCTTCGACTTACGGAAATCGACGGAAGCGCAAGCAAGAAATATCTGAATGACAGGTCAGACATGCAGATGAATGGGGAGGTCGACTTGACGTACGGTGATTATCGTCCTCACGGGAACAAAGTTCGTTTGATCGGTGAAGGTATGGGTGGTTGGTTTCTCTGCAGAGTCGCTATTTCTGTTGCTCTCGTTGCCATCATCGCTCGACAAGTCTGCTGCTGTTTGTTCACCATTATTGCTGCTGAGTTCAGAGCTGACCAGATCGCCAGAGCCTTGCTGCTCATTCACGTGTACGGCTTTGTCCATCATGCAAAGAAGTGGGCGAGTACTCTATGAGTTGTTGGGCAGGCGATCCATCAAAATCCTCCCAAGTCTCGTTGAGGACAAAACTTTCTAGCCGAACGAAAACCGGACAACAAGGTGATGTTGAGCATCGCCTATCCTCAAATTGTGAGACCGGATCTTCTCCGCGACGCTCCTTGCACACGGATGCTCGCTTGCCGAAACGCAAGGTGAGTGMAAAAATGATCCAGCTGTAAAGTTCCACCCTACGTCCCACACTAATGCGATGATACTCGTCCAATCATTCTAGTGCAACTCAAGTTGAGCATGTATTCGGGGGCCACGATGCAGATCATGTCTGTAAAGGGGAAAAATCTACTCAATTGTGCTCATCAAGGTGGGCTTGGAAGGCTTGGCGGGAGTGCATGCTGCACTTCATGTTGTCTGTTCCATCAATCACAACGCACGCAGTCACGAACGCAGACGCTATGGCGACTTTAGCAGGTCTCACGTCAGCTGAACTCCGGTGCTATATTCGCGGAAACCCTATGGGCCATCGTCAGCGCACCCGAGGTCTTTTGTACGCTGTGCTCATGCCCACGCTACACTAGATCTGACGATTTCTCCTTCCTCTACTGCAGGGGAGGAGTGTMACTGGAACCTTAAAGTGGCATAAGGGTGCAGGATATTACAGATCTCGCAATGACAGCCAGCAACGATCATTGCTCGCCATGGCAGCCCTGATGACGACAACTCCGCCCTCCAAGGAACAAACAGAGCACGCGAGGCACATTGATGGTGCACGAATACAACGCTAACCATGTGTGGCTGTACCACCGCGTTTGAGAAGGATACAGGTAGCCACAGCGAATCCTGAAGCACTTTCGGTAGACCACTTGCCCATAGCCTGCTATATCTAAGACCGGCGTTGAGCACATTTACTCCGAATGAGCAAGTTTCTTGCATTACCTTTGACTTTATCTGCCATCTGGCTTCCACGTTCTTGCAAGCAAACCCCATCATGGCGAACCCTACCAACTTTTACTCTGGCCCCGATTCGCTGAAGAAGTACTTTGATCCGGAGTGCGCTCCGCCACTGCCTCTGGTCGAGCTACCACCGCATCTCAATCCTTATTATGATGATGGTGTTCGAATCTACGCCAAGATGATGTCCTGTCATCCGGCGAACAATGTCAAGTGCATGCCCGGTGTGTAGTGCTGTATGATGGTTGGAGAGCCTTCGCTGACGAAGCGCAGCAATGAATCTTCTCCAAAAGGAGGTTGTCCCAGGGCAGACTAAATCCATCGTGGAATACAGCTCGGGCTCAACCGTCATCTCCATGTCGATGGTTGCGAGAGTGTTCCACGGGATCGATGACACAAAGGCGTTCCTTAGCAATAAGACGAGCGAGGCAAAGCTGCGATTGATGCAGTTCTTCGGACTCAAGCTGTAAGAATGGTATTAAGATGTGGAATAGCAGCTAGCTAACCTCACCACTTAGAACATTGTTTGGCGGACCTTCTCAACCAGAGCCTCTTGATCCAAGAGGCGGTATCCAGAGCGCGCGGATGTTGGGAGCTGAGTCTGAAGCAACTATCAATCCTAATCAATATGAGAATGATGCGGTAAGAATCCACGCATGAATCATCCTTCGGGGCTGTCGCTAACGTTGTATCAGAATTGGCAATCACACATCAAATGGACAGGGCCGCAGATACTACAACAACTTCCGGACATCAACATCATTTGTGCGGGAATGGGAACATCTGGAACGATGACTGGATTGGGGCAATACTTCAAACAAGCAAAGCCGTCGGTCTTCAGATTAGGGTAAGAAGGTCAGAATTTGACAATGGTAGYAGTGATGGCTGACTTCATTGTCAGTGTCTGCACAGCCGCCGGCGATCGAGTGCCCGGCCCTCGCTCCTTCGCTCTTCTCGCACCCGTAGAATTCCCATGGAAAGACTCTGTCGACCACGTTGAACATGTTGGATCGTTCGATTCCTTCACAGTCTCCCTCGATCTCTGCCGCAATGGCATCATCTGCGGTCCATCATCTGGTTTCAACCTGCAAGGCTTATTCAACCTTGTAGAGAATAGGAAAGCAAAAGGGACGCTACATCAACTCGCGGGCAAAGATGGTCTCATACACAGTGTATTCCTATGCTGTGATCTACCATACCAGTACCTCGGTGAATACTTTGACAAACTTGGCCCTTCCAGCTTCCCACCAATCGAAAACGAGGTATACTTCCCCACACACTCCCTACAACCTGCCCTCTTACTAAAATTCCCACAGCACCTCATAAACGTAGACAAATACCGCTACGACGAAACCTGGGAACTCCCCCCCTCAACCCTCTTCCCCCTCGCCACAGCCACCCTAATCATCGACCTCCGCCACCAAGCCGATTTCCACAAACATCACCTCCCCAACTCCTTAAACATCACCCTCGCATCCCTCCACCCAGACTCCCCAAGTCCCTTCCACAACCCCAAACTCCTGCATGAACAATGGCTAGAATTAGAAAATCTCTTCTCCCAGAGTTTCCTCCAGGGACAATTCTCGGGAAGGAAATTGTTGTGTTTGTGTTATTTGGGGGATACGGCGAGGGTTGCGACGAGTGTTTTGCGGGCTAAGGGGTTTGAGGCTGTTAGTGTTAGGGGGGGATTTGGGGTTTTGGGGAAGGGCATTGGGCTGGAGGGGAGGGATTTTGAAGTTGGGGTTGTGGGTGAGAGTGCGGGGAAGAGGGATTCTGTTTTGGGGGAGA